GAAAGATTTTATCGCATATTTCATATTGCATTCACAAACATAGGCACTCAAGAGTTGAATCTGGACATGGAGCTGAAATGTCAAAGGAGAAGAAACACTAGAATTCATCCTTTCAGCTCAACTAAACCAACATACTCACTCCATCTAAAAGTCTAAGACCTATTTTTTTCACCAAGATCAAGGAGTAATTAATTCATTCATCATGTGATAAAACCAATAAACATGTAACCAATAAGTACTAAAAAAGACTTCAACGATTCCGATCAACAATTTAATTTAGCACATGGTGACTACAAATAAGACTTATAGAGTCCTTCGAAACAAATGATTGTTTCCTATCAATTCCTTTGAAATTCCTATGGAATGAACCTTACTAGAGCATTTTTGGAGGAAAATAAGCATGAGGTCTCACCTCATGTTTTTCTCTTCATGTGTCTAAGATTCCTGTGTTTTTCCTGTGTGCTAATCAAACGGCAGTTTAGAGATTTTCCTATGTTTCAAAATCCCATAGGAATCCAATAAATGTGGCATTCAATTCATACGTTTTTCCTATTCCTCTGTTTTCTCAATCCTGCGATTCAAAGGGGCCCTAAAATTCCTATGGAATGGGCAATCCTATAGAGATTTTAGAGGAAATTTAGCAAGAGCTTCAACCTCTTGGAAACATTCCTTTGAGTCTATCTCTCTCATCCGATTCCTGCGTTTTTCCTGCGGTTCAATCAAACGGTCATTCATGTGTTTTTCCTGTATTTTGCAATCCTCTATTTTGCATTTACATTCCTGTTAGAATCCTACGTTTTTCCTATTCCTCTATTTTTTCATTCCTACGATTCAAAGGGGCCCGATTCAAATCCTATAGGAAATTTTCCTATTTGGCCCTTTGATTCAAAGGATTGAAGCTTTCCAAATCCTATGAAATTCCTATGGAATGGCACATTGCATGTGGATTTTGGAGGAAATTTAGTAAGAGCTCCAACCTCTTGGAAAATTTTCTTTGAGTCTATCTTTCTCATCCGATTCCTGCGTTTTTCCTGCGCTCCAATCAAAGGACCATTCATGTGTTTTTCCTGTGTTTTGTAATCCTCTGTTATACACTTCAATTCCTGTCAGAATCATGTGTTTTTCCTATTCCTCCGTTTTTTCTACCCTGTGATTCAAAGGGGCCCTTAGTTTTGCACATGCATTCCTATAGTATTCCTACGTTTTGAAAATCCTACAAACCGAGCCCCTTTGAATCGCAGGATTGAGAAAACGTAGGAATAGGAAAAACATAGGATTTTGATAGGAATGTAAGTGTAAAACAGAGGATTACAAAACGCAGGAAAATCATAGGAATGACCGTTTGATTGAACCACAGGAAAAACACAGGAATTGGATGAGAGAGATAGACTCAAAGGAAAGTTAGCAAGAGGTTGAAGCTCTTGCTAAATTTCCTCCAAAATCTCTATAGGATTGCCCATTCCATAGGATTTTCAAAGGATTGGATAGGATTTAATCCTTTGTTTCAAAGGGATTCATACGAAATTTTCCTATAGGATTGAAATCCTCTAAAATTCCTATGTTTTTCCTCCAAATCATTCTTTGGTTTTTACAAAAGTCTAGGATTATTTCCCATAGGATAAAATCCTCTAGAATTCTTATAGTTTTTCCTTTAAACCAAAGGGGCCTGAAATTCCTACATAAATCCTTTGATTCAAAGGGGCCCTCAGTGTAGAAAAAATTCTTGTGTTGCACTCCTTTGTTTTGCACATGCATTCCTACATTATTCCTACGTTTTTCCTATTCCTGTGATTTGGAAATCCTGTGAACTGAATAAGCCCTCAGGATTAAAAACATTGGGTTGGAGTGGATTTTTTTTCCTTTGTTTTCCCTCTAAGCCCCCCTTTGATTCAAAGGAAATTTATAGGAATTTTAGAGGATTTCATTCCTATAGGAATTTTTCCTATATAGCCATTTGAATCAAAGGAATGGATCTTATGGAATCCTATGAAATTCCTATGGATTGCCTAATGCCATGCAAGTTTTGGAGGAATTCTAACATGAGGTAAAACCTATTGGAAACTTTACTTTGAGTCTTTATCTATCCTCTAATTCATGCGTTTTTCATGCAGTCCAATCAAACGACTATTTCCTGTGTTTTCCTGTGTGTTTGCAATCCTCTGTTTTACACTTACATTCATATCAAAATCCTACGTTTTTCCAATTCCTATGTTTTCTCATTCCTGCGATTTAAAGGGAAAAGTGGAGGGATAGGATTTTTTCCTTTGGTGCATTCCTTTAAAACGAATGACGGTATAGTATAGTGTCCATTCCAAAGGATTGCATATTCTTGTACTTTTCCTTTACAATTCCTTTTGGATGGAGAGGGTACTATGCTTTTCTTACCGTAACAACTCCGGTTCATCAAATAGTACATAGTTGGTATTTTATTGTGACAGAAAATAACTATAAGTGCTAACATACCTCCCAATTATTATGCATGTTCAAAATATTAGCACTTGCACAGATCAAGATAATGTGTAACTAGCATATTTAAGGAATTCTTAGTTTCACATTTTACTAAGTGCAGCTTTCATCCAGATCATTGTGATGCTGAGCAGAAGTATAAGTAAAAAAGTCGATGAATGACCTCAAGACTAGCGTGGCAAAACAATATTGTCACGCCGGTCTCTCTGGCGTGATAGCGTTATTTGGTTACGCTGGTCTTGCTAGCATGACAACGTTATTTAACCATGCCACTCTCACTGGCGTGATAGGCAAAACTATCACGCCTCGCTGCAGGTGGCGTGTCAGTGTTATTTTATCAAGCCATATGGGCTGGCATGGCCAAAATGTTCAGATTTTTGGAAATAAGTTTTAGAAGGGTTTATTTTTAAACTTAAAAATAATGGTAAAAAGGTTCAAAGATTTAAAAAAAGGAATAAGTTCACTTTGGGTCCCTTTATTTGTCTCCAGTCTGATTTTCATCCCTTGACCACAAAACCAGCTACGACGCGTCCCCCAACTTACGAAAACCGGACAAACGAGGTCCCTCAGCGGTTTTGAAGGCGGTTTTGGCTGACGTGGCTCCTACGTGGCTTATTTGACTAGATCTCTGTCCCACATGGCATTGACGTGGCGCTTACATGGCAATTCATCCCGAAAAATAAATAAACCTTGTGGGACCCACATGTCAATTTCACACAGAAATTATAAAAAAGGTGGGGCCCACGTGGGCCCCACATGTCAGTTTCACACCGTCTTTAGGGACATCTGGTGGGCCCCACGCTGGCCTTCACGGACAGGCAGCTCCTCGTCGTCCAGGACATCGCCGCGGTGCTCTTCCCGGCCACCGAGCGCGTCCTCGGCAGGGCCGACGACCTTGTCCTCCTCGTCGAGTCCCTGCCCGCCAAGCTCACGGCACGATCGACGGCCTCGAAGCCTTCGTCGCCGGCGCCGTGGGGCATCCGCTGGGGCACGGCGGTGGTGGCGGCTGAGCACGGGGGAGCTCCCCATCCCATCCACTGTCTTCCGCTTCGGCCTAGCTCGCCCTCCGCTGCTCTGCCTGCGGCCGCGCTCGCCCTCCGCTGCTTTGCCCACTGCTGCGCTCGCCCACCACCGCTCCTCCGCCGCGCTCGCATATTGTGTTTTAGTGGCTGGTTGCAGGAAGCAGGTAAATTAGCTAGCTAACAACGCTAATGTGCTAAGCAAGCTAATGAATTAAATATGACTCATGCATGAGTCATGCACGTAATGGCATATATACATGTGAGTGTGCTCAGCCATATACACATGCTTGGCTAATATATACGTCTGCATGTTGTTGGCGGCAAACCAACAAGAAGCTAGCTAGAGGCTATAGCTGGTCGTCTCCATGCATGCATATATATGCTCGTACGAAGACGCATATGCATGCGGCCGTCTGTACCCGGCGTATATGCGTATGAGCTACTCCTATGGGCTCGGAAGGAACTTGAGAACTTGGAGGTCGTCACGGTGGGCGACAGCGGCGGTGGCGGTGGCAACACCATTACCGTGCATGGCGACAAGGCTCCCGTTGACGGCAAAGGAGAGGCAGCGACTCCGGCGAAACGCGCCGACGTATCAGGTGGCCAAGAATGCGGCGTGGTCCGCGTGGAGGATGTACAGCGGGTGGAGACGCCAGCTGCAGAGAGATCACGAATGCCATGAAGGACACGGAGATCGTGAAGAATAAGGACCAGGAGAGAGGAGGCAGCGAGAGGGAAGAAGAGGAGACCGTCGCCATGGCCGGCACGGGGAGCAGGGAGGAAGCATTGCTGGTTCTCTTCGATACAGCATGGCAACAGGGGAACCTCCTTACCGGTGGGAGCGGCGGGACGGCGGGTGCGCATGCACTAACTCGTGGCCGCGGCGGGTCAGGGAGGCAGGCGACGCCGCCGGTCGCTGGGCTGCGGCGGCGGATGGAGTCGCGTCGTCGGTAACCGCCGGCGGGCGCGGGCGGCGAAGGGCGGTGGAGGAAAAGGGGAGAGAATGACATGTGGGGCCCACGTGGGCCCCACCTTTTTTATAAATCTTATGTGAAACTGACATGCGTGGGCCCCACCTTTTTTATAATTTCTGTGTGAAACTGACATGTGGGTCCGACGAGGTTTATTTATTTTTTGAGTTGAATTGCCACGTAAACGCCACGTCAATGCCACATCGGACAGAGACCTAGTCAAACAAGCCACGTAGGCGCTACATCAGCCAAAACTGCCTTCAAAACCGCCGAGGGACCTTGTTTGCCCGGTTTTCGTAAATTGGGGGACGGGTCGTACCCGGTTTTGCGGTCAAGGGACGAGACGAAAATCGGACTGGACGAGAAATAGAGGGACCCAAAGTGAACTTATTCCTTAAAAAAAATCGATAGAGACAGACAAGGCAAGGGAAACCGGTTTAAACATGGGCCGAATCTCTGGCCCATCACGAATCTCCAAGCAAAAGTCCACTCCACCACACCAGGTCCAACCTCCAATACCCAAACCCTTCTTCCTCCTCCGCCTCGCCTCGCCTAAACCCCCCCGCCGCCGAAATGCTCCTCCGCTCCCTCCTCCGCCGCGCCGCCGTCGCCGCCACCGCCACGGCGGCCGGCGGCGGCGTTGGTGTGGGCGCCCGCGCCACGACGGGCCGAGCCGATCCGCCCGCGGCGCTGGCGTCCCTCCTCGTCGCGTCCAGGTCGTACGCGAAGGCCAAGGGCGGGGGGAAGCCGGCGGGGGCCACGTCGAACCGCGGCAAGGTCCGCGCCAAGGACCCCCGCGGCGTGGCGTCCGAGGAGGGCGCGGCGGGGGAGTTCGAGGGCGGCGGCGGCGGAGCGGGAGGCGGCGACGACCTTGATGTGGAGTTCGAGCTGCCCACTGACCCGCTGCCCCCGACCTACGACACCGCGCTCGACGTCGGGCCCGGCGGCCGCCCACTCTTCGCCTTCACCGACACCTTCGCGTCCTTCTCCCGCCGCGATGCCAACGCCTACGTCGATTTCACGTACGCGCCGCTTCTCTTCTCCCTTGCTGCTACTGTCACGATTGGATTCGAATGCGGTGATGCGCGTGTTCTAGTTTCGATTTACTGGTTTTTATATGAAATCTGGATCTTATGTGGCGTTTTTGTGAATAACTCATAAGGCATCAAGTGAAAGAAAATAATAGTTGTTACTAGCGGTAGCAAACAATTGGTTGCCACGATATTTACAGGTAATGGGATTGGGTAATTGTATCGGTGTAAATAGGTGCAGTGCTGTATGCAAATGTATTTGTGCAGTTAGAATTTTTTTTTGTTTGTTTCATGTCTAATCTAATGGTGGAGTATGAGTTTTGCCTTTACAGCTTTACTTACTACTCCCTTGATTTTCATGTGTGGACATTGGCCATCATTTCACAAACTTTGAACTTTGACGTGATCCATTTCCTGGACATAACTACTCCCTCCGTCCTATAAAAAACTAGCCTAGTACTGGATGTGACACATCTTAGTACTATGAATCTGGACATTCATATGTCACATATGGTCCTAAATTAGTTTTTTATGGGATGGAGGCAGTATCTAAATAATGTTTATTTTACCCTTGTTACTTAAGTACACTTGTTCTTCTCGAAGGTGCTCTGCATTCTGCAATATTTTGTTGTATCTCTTATATTATTATATCACAATTGATTCGTAGAGATAAGCAAGTCGGTACCATAGGCTGTAATGAATAAGCTAAAAATAGTTTCTGTTTCAGACTTAAGATTTCTTTGGGTATTAATTCTTTTATTTTCTGGCATGTGGCCTTTTTTCAGCTTGGATGAATGGAAAGCTATGTTACCAGAGGGATTGCCAGCCGGCATGATGAAGGAGTTTCAGGAGACAAGACGGTGTGCTGTGATGGTGAGAGAGAGCTTCCTAGACCTACGGGATAACTTCCGAAGAATTGTTGATCCAGCTATTGCTGCCAAACGAAAAGGTGTTTTGATACTTTTGCATGATTTTGTTTCAGTTGTTAAGATTGTACCTGACGAATTTGATCTTCATAGATCATTTTTATGTCATTTTACACATAGTATGCACAACGCTTGTATGATCTACCTTGCATACCTCTTTGGGTGTTTCTGAGATTTGCATGGTTAGTACCTGTTTAGTCCAGAATAAAAACTATTTTATTGGCATGTTTTGAATTTCTCTTAAGTTGAGTGCATTTTCCTTGTCTAAGTAGTATACATATCTGATATAAAATACTATCTGGTTTACGCATATATTGTGGTACCATTACATTCAGAATATTGGTTTATGAACAACTCTCAGCCATGTTTCCTGCTTTAAATGTCTTCAGATGCCAAAAGACAAATTGTATTAGATGGTCCCCGGAGCTGCGGTAAAAGCATTGCACTTGCAATGCTTGTCCACTGGGCACGTACTGAAGGATGGCTAGTATTTTATGTTCCACAAGGGAAGGATTGGTCACATGGAGGATTCTTCTATAGAAACACCTACAATGATCTCTTTGATACTCCAATACAGGCTGCAAAGATCTTACAGGTGCTAACCTCTATGTGATGTCCTCATCCATTCCCCCCTTGCTATTTATGGATCATGGATGTGAATACAACACATTACGACTATTTTCCGCAAAATTTTTAATTAGTTAATTCGTATATTTTTCCCTAAACTTGTCAAGTTTTTGCTAGTTTAGTTTCCTTGACTATAAGTATTGTTTTGATTGCATGGTTCACGATTAATTTTCGTACACCAACTGTTTTCTATGGTCAAGTCTTTTGTTTCACATCCAATCTTGTTTTTTTATTCCATAATTTGTTTCTGGTAGAGTGGTGGTGTCCTTCCTCTTCATTTTAATTTCCCTATGATTTCATAAAGTGGGTCAACAAGATGCAAAATCTAAGGGTAACATAAGATTGTTTTGCACAATTTGTTTGCAGTTCAATGTTAACATAAGATTATTTGCACAATATATTTGCAATTCAATGTTTATTTACTACGTGTTGTGAAATTATTATGTGGTTGTTGTTATCATCAATTAATATTGTTCAGCAGATTGGTTATCTCAATTACCAATTACCAATAACATTGATAAAGAAACTAGAATTTTTTTCCCTATGCCACTCTTATTTTTTAATGTTTTGGATCTTCCAGCACTTTGGCATAATTCTGTATGCTACTGGGTCATGAAAATCTTGCTTCTTTTTTCCACTTGGTTGGTTAGGCATAGAAGATAACACTTTGCCCGCCACTTAATAGTCATTAGTTACTTTGTACAATGCTGATCTTCAATTCACGTGGAATGGGGAAATTGGGGGCAAACCCATGTAAATTTGGCCAAAACTGCCAAAAGAACATATAAGTCAAATCAATGAAAAGTCCATCTCCAGTGCAGTCCAACTGAACCAAAAGTTTAGGTGTTCTATTGAATTGAATAAAAGCCCCCACCATGAATTCTTTTCCAGTGGTATCAGTTGATGGCATTGCTGCTGGGCATTCTCTGCTTTTGCGCAGGGGTGCAGCTGTCTTCATGTGCAAACATTCTGTTACGCTGCCACTGGCTGACAGGTTAGGTTGCATCATGAAGCCATGGTGATCTGTGTGCTGAACAAATCTAAGCAAAGGTAAAATGGTGGAGAAGGTAGTAGTAGGCATACAGCCACCGTAATACTAAGCAGAGCTACATAATGCAAAAGGCAACAGTAAAGAAGTACACACTCATTTTTAGCGAAAACTAATGCATGAAGGTCTTTATGAATGTAAATTTATGCATGTTCCATTAGGTTCTGTGCATGCTTTCCTTGTTACCCGTGGATCCATAGATTTTGTATTAAGCACAATAGTACATATGCCTAATGCTAGAGAGCAGACTATTTATGTGACAACAAATTTGTTGTTTGTCAACAGTCACATACGATGTGTAGCTAGGAGCCTGTTACTACTATATAAACTTGTTAGCTAAAACAACAATTTCTCAGCATCTGATTCTATTGATGTTTCAGGATTTCTTGAAGTACAATGAAAACCGCTTGCAGCAGTTACCATGTCAAATATTTGAGCCTATTCCCTTGGGGGAAGGTGCTGGTGTTGGAATGATGAAGGGGGCTGACACAGTGGAAATGCCTGAAGGTTCGACACTGTATGATCTCATTCAAACTGGGATAACACATTCGCATGCTTCAGTTGGTGTTGTAGTTCGTTTAAGGAAGGAATTGTCACTTGTGAAAGATGTTCCCGTATTATTTGCAATTGATCAGGTACAGTTAATGTTGAAGCCATACCATCCCATACCTACTACGACTTCTATATTCGATGCTCATCGAATCCAATATTTCTTTCCTTGCAGTATAATAGTTGGTTTACATTCAGTGAGTTCCAGGAACCGGTGACTGTTAGATCATGTCGGCCAATTCATGCAAAAGAGCTTACAATGGTTCGTTTCACCCTGAGCCACTCACACTATGTTCAAATATTTCATTGTACTTTATTTAATATTATCCTTTGAAAGTAGTGAAAAAAGCATATTCTTTTTGCTTTCTTGGTTGGGATGGTCTAGAAACTTAGTTGATGTGTAGGTTATCTGGATCTGGGATACATAGTTATAATTTACTAGGAATTCACATATGATGTGCTCGTGGTTCTAATATGGGTAACAGAATTAATATTCCCAACTTGTCATCGTGCTCGTCATACATCACAACAGTTTTTTTTACTCCATTATTTAACCAGCTGTTTATAGTTGGAATCCTACACTAATTATGTGACATGTAGTCCTGCGATATGTTTTTCTCTTCTTGGTTTGATTCATACTTTTACACTGGTATGAATATAATTATTTTGTTATATTGAATGTTTCGCTCACTACTTCAACAGGTCAATGTTTATAGGCCAATGCTACACAATGATATGATGGTAGGAGCATTTTCACATTCAACTGCAGTTGGAAAATTACGACAGGACCTCCCAGATGTTCCATCAGATGCTCGTGTGATGTTTCCACGGTACACTGTAAATGAAGCTGAGACTGTCTGCCACTATTATATGAGGTATACTTAGTATAAAATCTTCATAAATTTATGTACTGATGGCGTTGGATTTCTCTGTCATGATTTGCATTGACATGTATTTACGCAACCTTCCAAGTTTGTTCCTTTTACAAACCATGAACATTGCAAATTTTTTGTTGGCCAGGCAAAAGATCATCAAGCGCGAAAATTTTTCAGAAGAGAAGTGGAAAAAGATTTATTATTTGTCAAATGGAAATGGCTCAGAGATGAGATGGCTTGCTGCCTTTATCTGAGTTCTGAGGTAGGGAACTCTCGACATTACTTACTCAGGAATGATCTGCAATCACATAACTTGGTGCATCAGCTTTTGGATGAGATTTGCCCTTCATTTGAAATCCCTTGCAAGTAATTCCCTCTTCTTGTTTGCACCTTTCCGTGCAGTTTCTCATACCCGGATTGCTTCTGCCAAAGAAAAAAAACCAATTGAGTTCAAGCAGGCTGTGCAGGTTTTAAACTGAAGCCATCCATTGTTGTATACTTGCAGTACACATCTTGTAAAACTCGTAGGAGCAAGGTGCTACCTAATGACGGTTCTATGATTTTTTTATTTCTACCCCAGTAATTTGAAGTGCGAGCAATTTTGGCAGCAGCATAAAAATTTCACCCATGTGCCTGACGACGACGTTGATGTGTACTGAGTAGGAATGTAGTAGGATTCACTCAACAAGCCAGAACTCAAGTTTGTGACGCAGTTCTGCCCATTTATATTTGATGAATTTTGAGGTGCGTTGCTTAGTGACGCAGGATACAATAAGAACTGGCTGCTCTTAACTTTCTTTCTGGTACAGCTTCCATTTACTCTTTTTTTTTTATCAAATACTGTTGCTGTTTGCGATCGTTTTGGACTGTGTTATTACTGTGTTAAATGGATTTTGAGTGTTACACAGATGTTCAATTAGCGCCAACCTGTTAACGCAACCAACTAATGTTAGTTTTATCATATTGATTGACAGTATCACCTGAAAGCTTTCGCCTCAGTTCTTTTCGGTTGTTTCACTTCTCTTTATCTTGTTGAAAAGTGAGTGTATCTTTAATTGTTCACTGCGATATAGCAACATGTTCATCCAGTTATCAACTACTTTCCGTAATCTTTGGCTAGTTTAACATCTTTTATTAAAAGTACTTGTCGTAATCTTTGGCTAGTTTAACATCTTTTAGATTCATCATAAGAAATACTTTGATAATTTATAATTTACATAACGTTAAACTACATGTATTTCCCAAAAATAGCACAAATCGGGAACGCCTAGTAGTAATTTGAAACTTAAGTAGGATCTACAAAATTCATTCATCACTGAAACCCGATTAGACGAAACTTCTGAAAACTGAAACACGCACTTCTGCGATATTGCTTAAAATCGGGCGACCGGGGGGAGGTGGGAAAAATCGGTCGCTCCCCCTCTCCCCATCTAGACCCATTCACTTATCCCTCCTTTTATTTCACAAAAGATGTTTCACCTAATGTATTTACAATGTTTTACTATACAATGTTTCACTATGTATAGATCTAATGTTACAGTAAACTGAAATACACCATTGCAACAAAAAAAACCACATATTTTTGGAAACCCCATATTAAGAGAATTTGGTCTATTTTTTTTTCCACCGAAAAATGTTTCACCTAGTTTACTCACAATGTTTCACTATGAATAGATCTAATGTTGCAGTGATCGAAACATTCCATTGCAACAAAAAAACCCACATATTTTGAAAACCCTCTATTAAGGAAATTTGGTTTATTTTTTGTTCCACCGAAAAATGTTTCACCTAGTGTACTCATAATGTTTTACTATGTATAGTTCTAATGTTGCAGTGGACTGAAATATTCTTTCGCTATTTGCTGAAACATTATTTTTATATAAGGTGAAACAACACCCGATTTAAACGAGTGAAACATTTCCGATCTACTTAGTGAAACAATTCCGATATACCTAGTTGAACATCGTGCAACATTCAAAAATAATTCAATAATAAGCTAAAAAAAATTCGTAGGAATATATCCATGTGTGATCTTGTTTTGAAGATTTAATTGCAACGAATTTAATGGTACAATCGAATAATAATTTGGATAAGTAATTTGAGAGATAAATCAGTTTAAAGTAATTTTACACATAAATCGAGCGCTGACATCATGATGACATCAGCGTTCGATTTTAACCCGTCCCGATCGGACGCCCGACCGGGAGTCATCTCCCGCACTTCTGTTATTATCCATTCGACCTATTGAAAAAAAACACATATCCGAAGTTTGCATCTTAAATAAAAATTAAATGCAAACTTGTATCTGAACTTATCAATACATACTTATCAGTTATCCATGCGATCTTCTTCGACACATCGCGCCTCACTTATCAATGCGATATTCGCACAATAATACACCGAGACATGTAAATATTTACACGATGCGTCTCCGCGCGTGCCTACGCGGGCATCGCCGGTGCGCCACCGCCGCCGTCCCCCGGCGCCGCTGCCGCCGGAGCAGCAGCATCGTGCGGGCGCGCCGCCGCCGATTCTTCTCCGCCAGGTGTTTGCGGACGATATCGTTGATGGTGTCGTAGTCGACGCCCAAGAGACTCACGGGCCGCCTCACGCTCATCCTGGCGGTGGTGCGCGGCGCCCTCGCGTCGTCCGCCGCCGCCGCCGCCGGGGTGGTGGCGGCCTCGTCATCGGCTTCGGCCACAAGGTCGTCGAAGCCGCCGCCGCCGCCGTCGTCCGCCACGTCGGCGTCTGACACAAGGTCGTCGAAGCTGCCGCCGCCGTTATCGTCGTCCTCGAAGTGCTCGACGACGTAGTCCACCTCACCCTCCATGACGCCGCCATCATCAACGAGGTCGCCGACGACGACGACGACGCCGTCGTCGCTGCCGTCATCGGCGGCGAACTCGACCTCCTGCGGCTCCTCCTCCTCCTCCTCCTCCACCTCGAACTCCACCTCCTGCGGATCCTCCTCCTCCTCCTCCTCATCCACCTCGAACTCCACCTCGTACGGCTCCTCCTCCTCCACCTCGAACTCCACCTCGTACGGCTCCTCCTCCTCCTCCTCCTCCTCCTCCTCGAACTCCACCTCGTACGGCTCCGCTTCATCCTCCGCCGCCGCGGCGGCGTCATCAAGAAACGCCAAGAACTCGGCGAGCACCTCGCCCTCCAGCCATGCCACGGGGAGAAGATGGCCGTCGAACTGCACGTACTCCGGGAGGGACGCCGACGCCGACGACAACGACTCCATTGTCGCGCTCCGATCGATCGCCGCGAGCCGCCTCGCTGCCTTCTTGTTTACAGCTCAGGGATGAATCGAATCGAACCGGATCGGGGGAGGTTACGGAGGGAGCTGAGATGAACGCGAGAAATGAACGCAGCAACAACAGCGTCAGCTTTGAATTTATAGGCAGGCGGGCGCGGACTCCGAGTCCGATTCCAACTCCTATCTCTCGAGAAACTGCGAAAATATTTGCGATATTTGTTTTTTTGAAAAAGACTCCGAATCCGACTGCACTTCGCGTACTAGAGTGGGTATACGATATTTTTTTTAGTGAATTACATTTTGGTCCAATTTTTATTACCCAAGTTTTACTTTGAATCATTCTCTTTCTAATCTTTTCACTTTAGAAATTGGAGTATGTATTTTTACCATTTTTGCACCTCACTCTGAACATATCAGCACACTAATACCAATGATCTCCCATGTTTATATGTAGGCAATATTTTTGTCGAAACAGAGGTTGGATGGAGTGATTGCAATTTAGGACCCCCACCGGCAAATCAATATATCGACTAAACTTTTTAGATTTTCTCAAATTTTTGTCTAAGTTCGTGAAGTTTATTCAAATTCAGTCAAAATATGTTAAGAAATTCAAAAAAAACCCCGGCCCATAGAGTGCTGAAAATCACGAAATTTCATACTTTTCGGTCCTGCGAAATCACCGAAATTTTTTGCCGAGATCGAAAGTGCATACCCAAGTTGGATGTAGCTAGACAAAAGTGTTAGGGTGATCAAAGATAAAAGGGTTAAATAGCTAGTGTAAAGTGAAAATATTGAATAAGTTTTGTCCAAAGTGAAACTTAGATGACCCAGGATGCAATTCACACTGTTAAAAAAGTGCAACATCGAACATTTGATTCCTTTCTTTCCTGGTGTAGCGGGTCAAAACCAGGGTGATATTTACCATTAGTACCATTTATACATAAATTTATCGAATGTAAATGCAGTATAATAGTAGTGTAACTACATTGTAATCTGTACGTAACTGCAATATAATTTGCATTAATTTAAAAAATTCCTTGGTAACACGTTACTTCTATGAAAGCGGAGGTCATGTCACTTAATCTCCTCACCCATATGCGAGCTATGGTTACCCGTCCAAACAAAGAAAAATCTATTTACTCATTTTCCTAAATATGATACAAATACTCTCAAAAGAGTAGATATTTAAAAAACACAACTACTGGTACAAAATTGATTCTTTTTCCATACAAGCAAGATCTATGGTTGCAAGCGTGCGGAACAACCGTTTGGAACCAGGTGTCTATAGAAAATACCAATTATCGCAAGCGAGCACCGCAACCGATGCAAAAAATAAAAATCTAAGGTGGGCATGTTAAGGCGCCCGCCAGCATAAGAATTTTGGCCAAAAAATAATTAAATTTCTAAAAAAAATTTATATCAACCCCAGCCAGATCCGTTGTCACATGTTCGCCACCACAAGAAGCCTATCGCTATGGTCTAAAGCCCGCTAGATCCAACCCGGCCGGCCCCTGTGCTGCAGCCAGTTGTCGTCACAACAAGCAGTTTGTGGTCATGGACGTCATTGCCATCGTGGAGATGAAGAGTGGGAGGGGGAGAAGGGTCGTTGCCGCCATCATTAGATCCACCCCGGCCAGGGCCACGTCCGACAAATCCGCCGCCACCATCACCGTTGGATCCATCCTGGCCGGTTCCACGGCCAACGGATCTGCCACCATCAACTATGTAGTGTTCTTTAGCCCTCCGCCGTTTGTCGTTGTCACCCTCCGCCTCCCATCGCTATCGCTGTTGGATCCACCCCACCCGGATCCGTCGCCTCGCTCTACTGCTGGATCTGCCCCGATTGGGCCCGTGGCCGATGGATCTGCCATCGACAACTCTGCGGTGCTCCTAGGCCTCCTCCGTCATCGTGGTTGCCCTCTGCCCCGCCACTCCATACTCCTTTGCTCGCCAGTGGCAGCGGATCCCATGCCCGTCGTCTCCTCATCTCACGCCGGGCATTAGGATAGGAGAAGCCGAGGGAGAGAGGGAAGAGAGAAGGGATGAGGGAAGAGGGAGTGGGAGAAGCCGAGGGAGAGGGAGAGAGTAGAGGAGAGGGAGAAGGACTTAATCACTTAAAAGGAAAAAAAATATAGAGAACCGTGTCGCGAAACGATTTTTTCATATGGGCCTCTTAATAGGCATGTCTATGAAAACGGACCCATTTTCGCAAATAGACCTATTTAAGAGGTCCACCGGCGAAAATGGATTTTCACATATGGGTTATTACTAGACACCATTTGAATCTTTTTGCAAATGGCATTGTTTAACCCACCTTCGATTAAATAGGGGGTGTCTGTGAAAATAAATTTTTTTAAGTAGTGAAAGCCCTCTCCTCCAAGGTACTGTTTTCTTCTCTAAAATAACAAATATAATGACGTAATTAAAAGTCTGGATTTCTTAAGTCAGAAGATTTGTGGAAATAGAAATATGGATAAAATAAGTAAAATATTGTTCTTAATTAACCTTTTCTAAGGGGAATTAACCTTATTTTTTTTTGGTACAGCTTCCATTTTTTTCAAATATTTTTGTTGTTTGCGATCAATTTGGACTGTGCTGAGTCATTTGGATTTTGAGTTTTGACAGTTATATAAATGACGATTTAGGTCTAACTTGTTAACGCTCCCAAAGAACTAATGTTACTGTTAACGTTCCCAACCCCAAGCTATCATATTGATTGACAGTACGTAACACCTGAACGGCTATTTCAACTGGCCTTCTCTAGGATTTGCCCCCCCCCCCCCCCCCGGAACAAAATGAGAATTGTGGCCCTAAATTTCGAAAAAACTAACGTGTCGCTTCCAGTCAACTATATAACTTTGATATGAACTTTAATATTTTTTATGTTTATTATTTATAAATACATTAATACTCCCTGCGTTCCACATTATAAATCGCTTTGACTTTTTTTGGTACATCTAGCAAAATGAATATACCAAAAAAGTCAAAGCGACTTACAATGTGAAATGGAGAGAATATATGCTAAAAGTGTTTCTTTTCAATTATATCTTCATAATTACTATGACCGCCATCAATTGTTGAATCTAGAGTGGAGCTTCTTGTTACCGACGTTGTGTCCCATCCGACATCTGAGGATAATCCTATAAAGACTACTACTAGGAGAACAGCTAGAGTTCGCAGCTAGAGTTCGCAGGCCGAATGCCCGTTTGGCTGGGCTGGAGTGGGCTTGAACAGCCGTGTAATCTGTGCGAGTATATAAGCATGCGAGAGGGAAGGGGAGAGGCATCGAATGACAAAATTATAGAGCTCAAATCCTCCTACTACTGCATCTTCCTCTGCTCCAAGTTTCTCTGTTCTTCTTCTTCTTCTAAATTCGAATCTACCTCCCCAACCTCAACTACTTCCTGATGCCTAGATAGATCTTAACAATAGGTATCAGAGCCACCAATCCTGGAGTATCTTGACAAGCCTCACTACCACTCTCGCGCCCAAATCAAGTCTCAAGAGATGGAGCAGCAGCTGTCGGAACTCGCGGCAGCCATGGCGACAATCCAAAAACAAAACTCAGCAATTCAAGCCTCCATGGGATCCCTCAAATAAATCAAGCCACTGATGGTGGAGTTGTCGAGCTAGAAGTTGGCTGTGGATCAAGCGTTGACAGAATTGCGGGGGGATCTGGGCGATCTACAGCAACAAGTGGAGAAGTTGACCCGCAAACCCAGTACTCGCCGTCAAGCCGTCCGAGCTGCCGCCTCTGCTTCCCACGCCAATTGGGCCCCGGATCTCGGCGCCGAAGGAGGAGGAGATCTCTCCAAGCGAAGGTGACGAAGGTCACGGGCTGTTAGGCTGCCGCGTTGCTTTGAATCTACGGGGGAAGGCGAGTGGGGAGGGTCTCCATCGTCTCTCCCGACCAAGTGTACGTGTTTCAATCAATTTTCTCATCGCGTTCCTTTTGAGTTCGGGGAATTTTCGGGAAAGGGGTTTGCAACAGGGTTCCATGGGGGAAGTGCTCAAGTTGATTGTTCACAATTTGATGGGGGAAATCCCTACGGCATGGAAAATGAAATGTGAAACATATTTTTGAGTCAGTGGTACGAGTCTCCCGAGGTCTGGGTTGGAGTAGCTGCTCTGCAATTTTCCCGGGGGGGGGGGGGAGGGGGGCGCTCACATTGAGTTTGTGAGTTAGGAAGATTTTGCTAAAGCGGTTTGTGCTAAGTTTGGTAGAGAGGAGTTCTAGAGTTTGATTAGGCAATTCCATCGGCTTAGGCAAACTGGTTCTGTGGTTAGCTACGCGGAGAAGTTTAATGAATTAATGCATCATCTTGGATGGACTGAAACCTGAAATCCATGCTGCTGTTACTCCCTCTTGTTCCATATTAATTTATGTTTTGGACAAGATTGAGGTCAAACTTTTATAACTTTGACCATCAATAACTTTTAAAATAGAGATAATCCATTCTATGCCATTGACAAAGTATGAATTCTACAATATAGCACTGACAAAGCTTAGTTCTATAATATACCATCAGACAACTAGTTTTCTTCCTTACATTCCATCGCCGCTAGTCAACAGTTAGTCAAAGTCCGTTAAGAGCAAGAAAATGTCCATTTTACCCCTAGGGTTTCATGCATCCACATCGATTTCACTGGTCATGATCTATTTTTTTTTCTCATTGATGAAAAATAGAAATCACTTGTCATTTTATCATACAAGATTTTTTTAGTGCGACATGGCATTGTGCAAAATCTTAATTTTATCCAAGGGGTAAAATGGTCATTTTTCCTCTCTTAATGGCGTTTGACTAATGGTTGACTAACAACGATGGCATATAAGGAAGAAAATGAGTTATTTGATGGTATATTGTAGAACTGAGTTTTGTCGGTGGCATATTGTAGAACCTACGCTTTGTCAATGGCATAAAATGGATTGACTCTTTAAAATATTTAGTTTAAAGAAACTAGAACAACATATATAGATTTGTCTTTTAAAGTACTATAATAAAAAGTAAACATGCATTTATTTATTATATATACTATAATAGAAAAATAAGATCAAAGATGTATCTTATAGACCGTGTCATTGTCCAAAACGTCAATTAAAATAGAACCGGAGGAAGTATGTTACATCGGCCCTCCGACATAGATACTGCTGTGGATCTCGCTTGTTTACTCGAGGAGGTGCTGGAAACTGTTCGTCAGGAACCTCGGCGAGTGGATTTCTCTCTGAATGCTCGTGGGGGACAACGCCCAGCTGGTGTTAATACCTCTGTTCCAAGGCGAACAGGAGGTGGAAATGGGGCGCGCGCTGAAGACAGAACACCTTCAGCCGTGGAAGACCGAGTGGCAGCACTGCGCACTTACCGCAAGGCAAAAGGATACAAATTTATCAAGAGCGCCCTTTTGAAATTGAGTTGCTGTTTTATTTTTCTTCTTACGTTTTTCAGCACCTGAATCATACTTCCTATTTGTAAATGACACGCCGAGAATTTGATGGATGATTCAAAATACTGATTCAATCCAATGTAATTACATTACACCATCCGAGGACAAAGAATACGATGATACACCGAAGCATACTGACATACGTACACAAGTTACATGCATGCATATCTCCGAGCGTGCCCTCGCTACGGCCACGTCGGTGCACCGCCGTCCTCCGCCGGCCGCCGCCGCTGGCGACTGAGGCGCGACATCGCCGCGGCGACCCTGCGAGCGCGCCGCCGCTTGTTGTCCGCCTGCAGGTACTCGCGGATCATCTCGTTGATGGCTTCGTAGTCCCCGCCGAACTGCTTCACGGGCCCCACGCTCATCCTCGCGTTGCGCGCCGGTGGCTCTGCGGCTCGTGCGGCGTGCTCCTCCGCCGTCGCAGTGGCGGCGCCTCCGTCGGCGTCCGCGTCGGACACAAGGCCGTCGTCGAAGCTGCCGTCCTCGAAGTCGGCGTCCACGAGCTCGACGTCGTCGTCGTCGTATACGTAATCCAACCCATCCTCCTCCATGACGCCGCCATCATCCACGAGGTCACCGCCAACGTCGTCGTCGCTGTCGTCATCGGCGGCGAACTCTACCTCCTGCGGCTCCTCCTCCTCCTCCTCGAACTCCACCTCGTACGGCTCCGCCTCATCCTCCGCCGCCGCCGCCGCCGCGGCGTCATCAAGAAACGCCAAGAATTCGGCGAGCACCTCGCCCTCCAACCACGCCACGGGGAGTAGATCGCCGTCGAACTGCACGTACTCCGGGAGGGACGCCGACGACGACGACTCCATTGGCCGCGCTCCGATCGATCGCTGCCTTCTTGTTTACAGCTCAGGGACGAACCGAATCGAACCGGATCGTGGGAGGTAACTGAGATCGAATGCGAGAAATGAACGCAACAACAACAGCGGCAGCTTTGAATTTATAGGCGGCCGCGCGCGGAGTACTCCGAGTCCGATTCCATCTCCTATGTCGCGAGAAACCGCGAAAATATTTGCGACATTTTATTTTTCCTTTTTCGAGAAAGAAATCCGAATCCGACTGCACTTCGGGAAATGGAGTGGGTACGCGATTTTTTTTTTTGAATTGCATTTTGGTGTTTTTTTTTACTTATTATCTAAATTTCACTTTGAAGTATCCTCTGTGCCTGTGGCTCTGTCTAATCTTTTCATTTTGGTGTTTGGATTAGGTATTTTTACCCTTCCTTTTATACTTTGGACCACCTAAACTTTGATAGTACATTAACAGCCTCTAAGCATATCGGCACTCTCATGCCGATGATCTATACTTGTCGGTGATATGGGTCCGAGGGTATCTAAACTAGAGGGAAGAGGCTGTCCCAGTACCCACGTGTGTGGGGATTAGATGGGCTGTCCCAACACCCACGTAACCACATTCAAAGGCGCCCTGAGCGGGCGCGCCACGCCGCATTTAATGTGATGTGCAACGCGTCTGCCCAATCGAATGACCGATGGGACCGAGGTAGTGCGCCTGCGCACTGTCACACATTAGGCGGCGTGTGACCTGCCAGCTGCCATGCCCCGTCATGTTACGATGATGAGAGTCCCGGCTGGAGTCGGTTCATCCACTCGATCAACCAAGTACAGGAGTAGGGTATTATACTTCTCAGTGGTCCGAATCTGTATAAACCTCTTTTGTCTCATCGTTCTTAAGGGGCCCAACCCCCTCTACATTACACCTTCCACCGAATCCTCGATTCTCACCCGCTGCCCCTGGCCGAACTAAGAAGGAGGGCCTCACTGTCCCCCGCTTGAGGAGTTCACCCTCTAACAACATTGTTTACATGCAGGTCACATCTTTATCCAAAGAGAGGTTGGATGGAACTATTGTAATTTTGGTTCGAAATTTCGGAAATTTTGATAATTTCGGACCCCACTAGAAAATCAACATATCGACCGAAATTTTTGTATTTTGGTCCTACCGAAATCGCAGAAAATTTCACCGAAATCGAAAGTGCAAACTCTGGCTGGATGTAGCTAGACAAAAGTGTTAAGGTGATCCAAAGTGCAACAATGATAAAAGGGTTAAATATCTAGTTCAAACTGAAAAGATTGAATAGAGTGATATCCAAACCGAAACTTAGGTAACAAAAATTGGCCAAAAATGTAATTCACTATATATAAAAAAGGTGCAACATTTGATTCCTTTTCTTCTTGGTGTAGCGGGTCAAAACCGCGATGATATATTACCATTAGGACTATCTATACATCTGGTAATATTTTTTTAAGAAATTTGTCAAATGTAAATGCAGTGTAAATGTATTACCATTAGGACTATTTATACACCGACGCACGCCTAAATTTACATTCTACATGTGCGTCGCGCGTGCGTACGAAATCCCTACGTCGGCGGCATGTCATCGGCCGGCGCCTACATCTCGGCTAGCCGCGGAACTGTTGCCACCGCGCCCGTTGCCGCAGCTCCTCGACGTGTTTGCGGATCAGCTTGTTCGAGAATGGTGTAGTCGATGCCGAGGCTCATCGGCTTCACGCTCATCCTGGCATTCATTGTCCTCCTGCTTGTGGCGCCGTCGGTGACTCTGCCTTCACGGATGCCGAGGCCCCCCTCCGCCGTCACCGTCGAGGCCATCCCTGCCGGTGACTGCAACTCTGTTGCATGCGCGTGCCAACGTGTGATCCGTCACGTATTTTTAGGTAGGGCGATCAATATATAGGGCACTTGGCTTTCATCCACGTCGGCATCCTTCTTGGAGTAGGAGTTGGATTCCGACTCGGCCCGGCATGGCGAAGACATAGCCCAATAATTTCGGCCCAAGACAGCCCCCAGCCTGCGCGTGGTGGTGGACCCGGCGTCCTCCACTACCACGAAGGCATCTTTCCTCCTCCGTGCCGACTGGTACGACCCCACCACCATCGTCACTGATGTTCGGAGCAGCTAGGGTTCGGTGGGAGAGAAGAGGATAAATAGAGGGCCTAATGACGTGGGTGTCGTTGTATTTTTTTTCTTTATTAATCAAACATTCACTAACACGTGGGTTTCATGAACCCATGGTTTTTTAATACTTTTAGTGCTACGCCAACGTCATGTAGGCATCACATTAGCAAATAACGGATGACGCGTTCAGGGACGAATTTCAGACTCGGCATCAGGTCCGCCATTGATTGATCAAGGCAGGCCTCAATACCGGCCCATTTTCCGTAGGTGGGCCGCCATCTTGTGAGGCTAAAAAGGCTCTCGCGAGTCGCGACCTCTCTCCTCTAAAACCCCCACTTGAAACCTAAACCCTTCTCCCCCCCATTCGCCGGCGCCGCCGCACGCAACCCCGGCCGCCGCCGCCGCCTCCACCCGAATTCTAGCTCTCGCTGCCGGCTCGCCCGCGATGGCGCCGCGCGGCGACGGGAAGAAGGGGAAGGGATCGGGGAAGCCCGACCAGCTGCGCCCTAAGAGTAAGCAGTTCAAAAAGCACTCGCGCAAGGAGGAGGTGGCGGGTGAGGGGGAGCAGCAGGAGCGTCCGGCGGCCCCGGACTCCGCCGCCGTCCTCGCCGCCGCCGCCGCAGACGACGGCGACTTCCCGAGAGGTGCCCACTCGCTTTGAATCCCCCCGTCCTTCTGGTATGCCTCCGCCTCTGCGTGCCAATTTTGATTCAGTGCGTGCGTGCGGCGGTGTTCGTGCGCTGTGTGTGTGAGCAGGAGGGCGTAGCCTGCTGAGCAGGGATGAGGTGGCGGAGGCGCGCGCGGAGGCGGACGCGGACTTCGAGAGAGAGGAGAGGAGGGGAAAGAGGAAGAGGAAGGGTGCATCCTCGTCGGGAGCCGGTGGCGACGACGACCTGGGGAGCCTCTTCGGCGGGGCTACCACCGGGAAGCTCCCACGCTTCGCTAATCGCGTCACCTTAAAGGTAGCTGGATTTACTCTCTACTGCTCATGATAAGATATCATCATATCAACAACGATCCGTTCACAAAGCATATGGTTAGCACATTGAAGGGTTAGCACATTGAAGGTTGTAGCATAACCTTATATGAACGCATTGCGTCCTGTAAAGCTTAATCTGTGATATGTAAGTATGCTGCTAGTTTCTCAGTTGTCGGACACATGCTATACTTGATATGTAGTTCAATCACGATGTTCATTTATGCCTCGCAGCCTGTGGTGCATCCTGAATTTGAGAACACCTGATAGTTCAGAAGGTCAATCGAACCATTGATAAGTACATGAAACTGACGTGACACTTGAGGCTGATGAGTCAATTAGATGGAACAAATAAAAACAATGTTTGAGAGCTAGATAGCTCAATAGTTTAATTTAATATTCAATTTGCAATTTAAGAAGATTTGGTCCATCCAACCATCAGTCCATCACTGTATACTTGTGAACAATGTGAACTCCTGCCAGATTGGTTAAACTGGATGTTTGTATTACCTTTCTCCAATTATTCTATGGGGAGGTGTTTCAATACTTGCAGCTACCGCTCTGTACCAACCCCAGCTAACAGCTTTGAACATTCCCACTATATGTCATTTATATGTTTTTTCTTGAGCCAAATGCAAAGCTTTAGGGTCTATTGCATTTTGTATCTCAAAGGTACCTCTACATTATGAATGAACTGCAGCAAGTTTATCCTTTCTTGCGATGCTAGATTAGGATGGCCCAAGAAACATAGTGTCAAACTGACTTGAAGCCAAACTTTCCATTTATTCTGTGTCAATAAAAGGAGAAGGTTTCCATTTATTCATTTTATGTTACCAATCACCTTACCTTCCCTAGAACACAATTTTATCAACTACGAAAAAGATTGTCAGGAAGTTAATTATGCAGTTTGTGACATCAGACTTATGTTCCATCACTTCTTTGCTGTTCCCCTCACCACCTATGTCCACATTACAGGATGCGCAAATGACACTTTTTATCTCAGCTGTCTGGGAAATAGCCAGATTGTTCAGCCATTAGCATTGCACCATACTCGATTCAATTGAAACACTAAATATTTGGATGGATAACATGTTCATTACGTTGGCATACTTGGCATGCAGCCACTACTAATTATCTATTTGTTGCCGTCCTTATTCTACATTAACTTGACTTACTTTCAGCTCTTGTTTTGATCTTGACTTTTAGATCTGCTTTGATCAGTTTGTATGGACAATAATTGGATATGGCTTGTTTGGTCTAACATAGCTCATGAGAACAAACATGTCTCAGTGCTATGACAGTTGTTGGGCTTGCAACAATTGTCACACATGCCATTGGCCCAGCCCATCCATCTTAATGAATGATCCCTGAAAAAAAATGTCTCCCCCCTACTCTAGTAATTCCAGTTGCTGTTGTGGGGATATATTGCATGAACTTAAACTGTGTGTATATTAAGATGATGTAGTGCGCACAACACATTCTCATGTTCATAACTTTACATAGGCACCATGATGTCCTTGGCCCCTTTTGAACGAGTGCGTTAGGTTAGATGTGGTCATGTGGCTACAGTTGTATTGAGTTATAGCACTATAACCATGTAGTTTTGTTAACTTGAAATTCATGAAACATGCAAAAGAGGGGAAACTAAGGGCCTTCTTGTTTCTTTTAGTAAAATGGTCTGATTAATTTGCCAACTATGTTTTCTGTTTGATGATTTGATCTGCAACAATAAATCATGGAACATGTATATTAGAAGTACAAGTTGGTCATGGGAACTGTTATTCTCATTGAGAAATTTTTAGATATAGTATTGCTGTTTTGAAGAAGTAGCCATGAGCGCATGACAAATATATTTTCTTCTTTTGTCAGAATATTTCACCAAATATGAAGCTATGGGGTGTTGTAATTGAAGTTAACCAAAAAGACATTGTTGTAAGTCTACCTGGTGGAATGAGAGGGTTTGTTCGATCAGAGGAAGTGCATGACATTACTTCGCAAGAAACTCGTAAGGTATTGGATAGCTTAAAACTCTCATTCCTTTAATGTCAATAGGCTTTATTGTTGTCCTATCTGCACGTTGCCATCAATAAATCCAACTGATACTGGCATTTATTTTAGTTATGATTTCTCATTGTTAGCAACTTGTGTTCCTTTGCAGGATAGTGAGGGCAGTATATGTGCAGATGTTGTTCATGTTGGGCAGCTCGTTCCTTGTATAGTTTTAAGAGTTGATGATGATAATAAGGAAGGAAAAGTAAACAAGCGTGTTTGGTTATCCTTACGATTGAGCCGGATATATAAAGGCCTTTCTCTGGATGCTATCCAGGATGGAATGGTATCGTCTACTCACCCTGGTGCTGATGCCTTATCAGTTTAGTTATCTCGAAAGGACAGTATTAATATGAAAATTTTCCTTATGCATGTTAATTCGTAGGTACTCACCGCCCAAGTGAAAAGTATTGAGGATCATGGTTACATTCTTCATTTTGGAGTATCCTCCTTTAGTGGTTTCATGCCAAAGGCTGACAGAGGTAGGCACAATCTGTGGCTAATCAGATATTAGATTACACACATACACACACTTGGACAACATTGCATTTTATGCTGCACCTAGTTACTGTTCTAAACCTGTAATAGCAGCTACTTGGATTGCTAAAAGTGCTTTAGCGTACTGTCAGGTTTAGCAATTTTGAAGCTTCTTTGTAGTTGGTAGCTGTACTGTATAGTTGCTTGTAATTTCACAAGAATTGCAACATTCACATTTGTGAGAAAACACCAACAATCTGCATGCTTTGTTCTAATGGTATTTGGTTATTGTAGCCGTCTCGTTTCCTGCACTTGTTTACTGTATCTGTATATACAAACATTTCTCTTTGTTTTTCTCCATTGAGGTCATGTGCTGATCATGATGCTCCTTTGGGGAAATACTTAGGAGTTGATTAACTGGTAATCTTTTACAGAAAGCGCGAAGATTGAGAGTGGACAACTTATACAGTGTGTTGTGAAGGCAATTGATAAAGCTCGGGAAATTGTTCACTTGAGTTCTGACGAAGATTTGCTTTCTAAATCTATTGTATGTTGAATAATTATTGACCAGTGTCCTTACTTTTTTGTTCCTTATATCAGTTATCACTTATTTGTACTGTTGTTTCTATCTAGATTAAAGATCTGAAAGGCCTTTCTATTGATCATTTAATTCCTGGCATGATGGTCAATGCACGTGTTCATTCAGTCCTCGAAAATGGAGTTATGTTATCATTTCTTACTTATTTCACAGGAACAGTAAGTTCTTCTAAGCATCTCAGTATTTTAATTAACTCTTTTAGCTTCACTTTTCTTTTGTTCAATAGTACTCTTGTTTAAAATTTTACACTGTATTATTTTATCAGGCCGATATTTTTAATTTGTCCAACTCCTTCCCCTCTGGTAGCTGGAAAGACGATTACATTAAGAATAAGAAGGTATTCAGTAATTTCTCGTAATATTGATCATTTTGTGACTATGATGTCTAAAGTATTGGCACATGTCTAACATTTCTTTTTATGTGAATGAGATAGATGCTTATACCCACTTGCAGTATCACAGTTCTTCTTACTCATGCTATCGTCCTTTTGAAATCTACAATTCTACATTGTTTGTTAACTATTCTGTTTTTTGTGCTGTTTCTTTTCTTCGTTTGCAGTGAGAAACTTTGACAGTCATCTGTCTGCATAGTTCTTCTAATAATTAAAAAATATGCTTGGCTGGAAATTAGTGATGATGATTCCTTATTTGTTAGATGTGGTAGCAGTAGCAGCAGCGCTAGAGATATCTGGCCCATCTGAACAAGTTTAGAAGATGATGATCCCCTTAGTGGTTGGATTAGTTATTTGATTACATTCCATATTAGATAGTATTGCTATTGTTAGTTCCTGATTTTTATGGGCAATCCTCTATCTGAGGAGAGGCTGGTCATCTAAGTGGATAACAAGAAAAAAAGAAATATTTCCTTTTCTATCCCATGCATCTTCCTATCCTTCTACGGCACCAGTACACTTGGCTAGGACCCTTATGATCCCACCCATACAACCTTCATTCATGGAAACGAGGTCACAACATTTGAACATGTCAAAAACATGCTTGTAGTTTATTTTTCAAATCTGCATCAATGTTATCTGATCGCTGATCGATCCTGATCTCCAAGGGACCGATCAGGACGATTAATCGTTGATCAGCCTCGATTAATTGACCTGATTGGTACTATGTATACCAGAACCTATATTCTATATATTGCATAGTATAAAGCAATCACAATACTAATAAGTGATGGTAAGATGGTCACTTACTTGCTCTAGTACAAAGCAATCACAGTATAAAGCAACCAGCAGTAGTAGCACATTATTCATAACTAAAACCGAACACTTGTTCTAAAAGTGATTGATAGGTGCTCTGGTCGGACGATTAACTACGCTTGGTCGACGATTAATTGGATGATCAGATTTCTGATCGAGCTGATCAAATGAATGTCCCTGACCGGAGTTTGGGGACCAATCAGGACGATTAATCAGAATTAATCGGATGATCAGATAACACTAGTCTGCATGATGATATCCACTATGGCCCTATATTCCATTTAAGTTTGTTCAGTTCTGGATCAATTTCTTGCTGTCAACAGTTTGGTTACTGCTGTAGACATTTTAAAAAAACTTCTTGTTCCCCTTTTAACCTTTAGGCTATAATCCACAGGTAAATGCTCGGATATTATTTGTTGATCCGTCAACAAGGGCAGTTGGACTTACATTAAATCAACAGTTACTTCGCCTTAAAGTACCCTCTATTGTAAGTTTTCACTTTTTCAATTTATCGTTATGCCTATAAAGTTGGCTTTAGTCAAATATAGTTACATGAGCTATTCTGTCCTGGACTCACAGTCTTTATCTTTTGTGATAATTGTTTTTCCCATTTGTCAGAACGTTAAAGCTGGAGAAATCTACGACAAAGCACGTGTTTTGAGGATGGATAAAAGGGCTGGTCTTTTTCTTGAAATACCTTCTCCAACTCCATCACCTGGGTTTGTTAGTGTATGTCACTTTATTGAATGCTCCGTTGTTAACATCATCATCATTGATTGGCCTATGAGGGTTTCACATTATATTTTCAAATATATCTTCAGATACATGATGTCTCAGACAAAGATGTGAAAAATGTGGAGAAGAAGTTTAAAGAAGGTAGCATGGCACGTGTCCGTGTGCTTGGAGTGCGACATCTTGAAGGAGTTGCAATAGGCACGCTAAAAGTAAGTGCATCTTGTCTCATCACTTAGTTTTCTTAGTGGAGGTTTTCGTTACAAGTGTTTTTAAATGCAGATCCTGTTTAGTTTTAAGTCATGATTTATGTTTGAATTTGAAATACTTCAAACTTGACAGCATTTGTTCTTACTCGGCAGCTCATTGCAGATCCGAAATATATTTTCTTAGTACCCACTTGGTTTATCCAATCTTTTTAACACTCTTATCATCGAACGTATTCTGCAATTCTATTCCACATAAGGCATTAACTAAGTTGCTACTGGCAGTTTGTTTGGTTAAAATGATTAGTTCACTGATAATTTGTCTTATTGAACATGTATATATACACCATGCTTGGATTTATTCAGTAAAGCTGCATTGTTTGAAATATCAACTTTGCTGCAAAAAATATGGATCAGTTGAATCATGGGTGGTGATTTGATTGAAGTAATCATGTTTGTTTCTGTAATGCTGTTTAGTATACTGGTAGTCCAGTCCATTCATTACAAGCTGCTCTTTTATTATTATTATTATTATTATTATTATTATTATTATTATTATTATTATTATTATTATTATTATTATTATTATTATTATTATATGTGTACTTGGGCTTTTTGCTCAATAAGGGTCACATACCCTTGCAAAATAAAATTTAATTCACCTGACTCCTTTTTAACTCGTTAAATTATCACCTTATGCACTTCCATATGCAGTTTGCTTATCGTTTTCCATCATTTGCATATGCTATTGTCAAAGCATGGCACTTGGAATGCCAAGAAGTTGAAAAAAAAATGAATGGTGTGCGGCTTTAACCCCAAAACAACATTTACCTATTTGTCCATTCAATTTAATTATATTGCAGTTCCTTTCAGATATATTTGATCAAATTATCATGAATTGGGGTAAAATTGATGTACTCAGAATGCTCAATTTTTCTTTCTATTTGCAGGAAAGTGCTTTTGAAGGGTCTGTTTTCACTCATGCTGATGTTAAGCCAGGAATGGTAGTAAGGGCTAAGGTTGTTACTGTTGAGCCTTTTGGTGCAATTGTGCAGTTTTCGAGTGGCGTGAAAGCACTTTGCCCACTTCCACACATGTCTGAGTTAGAACATGTTGTAAAACCGCCGAAGAAGTTTAAGGTGCTACTGCATTTTTGTTGTTTCCCTTTTTTTTTCGCTTACACTATGGAATTGCCATATGACAAGCCTAATATGTCCATGAATGACACTTCATTTTTTTTGTGTTTCTTTATGTAGGTTGGAGTTGAATTAACTTTCCGTGTTTTGGGTTGCAAATCCAAGAGAATAACAGTGACATTCAAGAAATCTCTGGTACCTTCCCTGTCCGCCCTAGGATATTTCTATTTACCGCATTTTCTTGTGTAGTCTAGAGCATGATGGAATATCATTCTTCAGATTTCTCCTAATTATTTTATAAAGAAGACAATTCAATCTAGATGTTACAGTCTTTTTTAGTGCATTGCTTCGGTTTGTCCTGGTGTGAGTTCAATGATGAAATTCTGTACTCTGTTCAGGTCAAATCAAAACTTGATGTATTGGCCTCATATGCTGATGCTAAGATTGGTTTATTGACGCATGGATGGATTACTAAAATTGAAAAGCATGGCTGCTTTGTGAAATTCTACAATGGAGTTCAGGGTTTTGTTAGCAGGTTAATCTCAAACCTTTGAATACATTAGTTCAGACTTCCATGTGTGTCTGTGTTTAGTGAATTCAACTTTTTATGAGTGCTATCTTCTATTGTTATTAACTAGCTATTAATGGAACATGGTTCTGAAACATTTCGTTTTCCCATTCCTTGTGAAATTGTGCTAGATCTGAGCTTGGATTAGAGCCAGGTACTGAAGCTGAAAATGTTTACCACGTTGGTCAAGTGGTCAAATGCAGAGTTGTGAGTGTAGTCCCTGCTTCAAGGAAAATAAATGTTACTTTTCTGATATCTACAAATAGGTAAGCACCTTTCTCTTCCTCTTTTTATATGATAAATGAGTGCCTTCTGTTGTTCTTTTATTTCCAGTCTTGGTTTGCTTTTTTTTTATGTGATGACAAGTAGCTGGTGTATTTTTTCCACCTTGAATATGTGGAATTATACATAGTTCCTTGTTAGATTCAACATTTCCTATAATCTTTCTGTTGTCTTTTTATAAGGTTTTCTAGTCTTGTCAATATGATGATGTCCACTTAGAGACTTGTATGATTACTATAGTAAGATGACAATGGAGTTATTTTGTGATGTTTTTTTTTAAATTCTTTTTTGGCAATATCATTCCATACTGAACAAAGTAAAGACTCTGTGCTTCTAGCATCTGTCAAAATATGGGTATGATGATTGGAGGAGAAACAGATTATTTTTGTTGGCTCTGTAGTATGTTTTTCTTTTATGGGTTGGATCGCCAGGGAGAAAATAATGAAATAATCATCGTTAAATATTGTGAACGCCTTGAGCTATGGATTTTCACCAGGCTTGATGTCCATGCAACCATGTCCTGTCATATCCTCTTCCAAGTTTCATCTTGCTGCCCCTTTATTTTGACCTGTGCACAAAACAAAGAAATATAGCACCCTCTCAAAACCAAGAAAACAGGCAACAATTTTTTGAAGTCATTTTTGTTCATGGCAATCTGAGTATTAAGCCACTGTGGATGCAAGGAAATGAAAAATGACTCGTAATAGAGAGTTGGTGGTGGGGTGGTGGCAAATTCACCACTCACCACCACCACTACTCCCTTTTAAAGGAGTATAGATATGTTATATTGTATATTTCAATTTAGCCATTTGTCTATTTCAACCTGTGAAATTCCGTTTAATGCGATTAATGGAACTTCCTACTCTTAGTTGTATATTTCAATTTAGCCATTTGTCTATTTCAACCTGTGAAATTCCGTTTAATGCGATTAATGGAACTTCCTACTCTTAGTTGATCTACAACTATATGCCTATACTACATGAGGCACAGTATTTTGCTTGGTTCATTTGGTTTTTAATATACCCTTTTCTTAGTTTGTCTGTCTTAACATTTTTCCAATTCCCCTTTTCCCTTTTACTGGGAATTTTCATATTATGGATAGACTGAAAATAATAATAATAAAAAAACACCTTTCTGCTTCTCCTTTTCTGTCATGTAGGGTTATTCAAGCTGACACCCCAAAGGTGGGAAGTATTGTATCTGGTGTTGTGGAGCGACTTACTCCTGCAGCAGTTGTTGTCAGTGTAAATGGCTTCTGCAAGGGATCAATACTTAATGAACATCTAGCAGACCATCGTGGTATGTCCTTGTTCTTTTTTTGTATTCTACACTTTACGTATATTTGTTTGCACGAGGAAACTCTCTTTCCCTTAGACACTCACCACATGGATAAGATGTGATTTATTTTTCATTAATACATCGCTTCTGTTATGTTGAACTTACCATCAACCTGTTTTCAATCAGGTCAAGCTGCTCAACTGAAGAATTTGTTGAAGCCTGGCCATGAGTTCAGCGAGCTCTTAGTTCTCGGTAACGTTTTCATAGTTGACAATTGTATCCCTCTGTCAAACTAATGTCAACTAAGGGGCAAACATGCACATGTTCTCTTTCTAGTGTAGAATGTACAAATATAAACCTGTATATCAAGAGTAGAAAAGCACAAGTTTGGTTCATGATAAATAAATTGGTCCTATAATCTGTGTTACACTATGCACACAGCAAATCTTGGTCTGCATATATTGTGTTCACATTACAATATATTATTGTTTATAGATCCTTCCTGATGCACTTTTTCCCCTTCATACACATTGCTTCACACGACTAATTATTGGCTTTCTCATTGTAAATTCCATGCTCTGCAGATGTTGAAGGGCAAAATTTAGTTCTTTCAGCCAAGCAATCACTCATCAACTGTGCAAGTGACATTCCATCAGAAATATCTCAGATGCATGCAGGATCTGTATTTCATGTACGACTTCTTTATTTAATTTCACATGGATTTTTTTATGGGCAAATTGGTTGACATCCATTTTTACGTAGGGTTATGTTTGCAACATCATAGAAGCTGGTTGTTTTGTTCGCTTTCTTGGACATCTAACTGGTTTTTCTCCCAAGGATAAAGTAAGAATTTTTCAGCTGCGCTGTTTTTTTTTTTTTAATTTCAGTAAAGCCTAATCTTCATTGTTTCTTGAAGGCTGTTGATCGTTCAGTAGAAAAGCTGTCCAATGCCTTCTATGTTGGCCAATCCGTTCGGAGTCATATCCTAAATGTATATATAACACTCCCCTTTTGGTACATCCATGTTTGCATCCTATGTTACTTGCATTCATCTGAATGTTTGACCTTTTAATTAGGTAAATGCAGAATCTGCCAGAGTGAAGCTTTCTCTTCAGCAGTCTATGTGCTCTTCAGCAGACTGTTCATTTGTTCAAGGATACTTTCTTCTAGATCAGAAGGTCACACTCCAAACTATTTGCTACTCTAGGTTTAAGAAAAATCTTGTGTTCATCTTTCTGGTAGCTGCTTGATTATTTACGTAGCGGGCAACAGAATAGGATTTTTGCAATATTGCGATCCTAAAGATCTTAACAAGAGGTCCAAGATCATGCATGATACTAAATTTAAGTATCACCAATGAAAGTGTCATGTAGGATGATAGTATTGTGCAGTCTTCTGATTGTATCAAACTATCGGGTTCCTGGCAAACCTTGTGACATAGCATGGACCGTATTGTGTGATCTTCTGAATGTATTGTCATTGGTCTTCATGCCACCCAACGTAAGTTTTGATAGTACCAGATCGCAGGCGATCAGGTGATCTAAATTTAGTGAATACATCAAAATTTCACAGCTAGGATACCATTGAATGAAGGTTTAAGATATCACACAATTTGGAGCTATCTGTTTGATAAGGAACTTGTTGCCCTGTTGCTTCAGTGTTCTGATCAGTTTTGCTAATTCACTCTCCTGGAATTTCTTATCAGTCATCTTAAACAGGATATGCTTGTTAGATGTATGCATAGCTAGTGGTGTATTTTCTCCTTTCTAGAGAGTGTTTCCTGCATATTGTACAGCCTTGTTTGTATACCTGTTGGCCCAATTGGCCCATTGTAATCCAAGTCAATAACATGGTATCAGAGCCCATGGTTTAGGGCTAGGGTTTCCACCCCAGCCGCCATCGGCCGTTGCTGACCTGCTACAGCCATCACCGACCACTGCCACCACTGACTCTGCTTGCGCAGCCCGTGGACGAGGCAGGTATCATCTCCTCTGCTCGCGCCGCTGATCTGCACCATTTCCGGCCACACTCAGCTGTTGCCGGCCACCGAGCGAGTTGAGGATGACCCTGACCGCGCCCCTCAGCCCTCCGCCTTGAGCTCGAGCGTCGGCTCTGCCAGGACGGCCCGCCTTTGCTGCCGCCTTTCTCGCCTTGACGCCTGCTGCTGCCTCGCTGACGCAGGACCTGGAGTTGCCGTCACCCTCCGTGCCCTCTGCTGCTGCTGCCGCTGCCGCTACACTCTCTGCCTTGTGCTGCTGCCGCCGCCAGGGCTCCTTGCTGCTGCTGCTGCTCTTATCTGCTTGCTTGCTGCTCCCTCGTTTGCTGTGATGGCGCCCTCGGGCAAACTGGGTGCTAACAATTCTATGCTCAAAATTGTTTCTTCTTTTTGGGTCTACTTTTAGGTTTGAATTTCTTTTTAATCTTTGTGTCTAGGTTAGAAACTTTGAATAATTAATTGTTTCGGTCTTTATCCAAGGAGTGTTGTTACTTGTTTGTATGTAATAAATCAGGGGAGCGATAGAGTGGTTAGATTTTCATCCGATGATAAAGTATCTGGATTAGCAATTTTTCAGTCACCTGATGAATAGGAACCCCATTCTATTTTCTCTTCTCGGAGACACAAATCTCATTATTTGGTGATGTTTCAAGTTTTACACTTACAAATGGTGTCTGCCTTTTTTTTATGTAGATCACAGAACTGAAGTATTCAGATCCAAGTAGTTCTTTCCATGACTGGTTGAACACTTTTGCCATTGGTAACTTGGTGGAAGGGGAGGTGGGAGCGATCGAAGAATATGGCGTTATCCTGAACTTCCAAAGCCATCCGGATGTTGTCGGTTTAATTGAACATCATCAACGTATGTATCTCACTTTCTTGTTGTGTTGCCTTTTGTTTTCACTGATTAGATCAGTACCAAACTTCTTTTCCTTTTTCTTTGCAGTTGGTGACAGTAGTGTAGAAGTGGGCTCTTCTGTGAAGGGTCTTGTTATTGATTTATCTGATGGAGTTGTTAATATATCCCTTAAATCAGAACTTGTTCGCAGTGTCAGCAAAGTTGGAAAAAAGAAGGTAATGTTAACATGCACGTTGCTGAAATGCTCAATAATATACAGTCTGGTTAGAACTTAGAAGTTGCCTGCCCTCTAAAAGATTTTTTTGTTTTTCTTTGCCATTGCCATTTAGTCATTTGTTTTCCTGCACAGAATTGTATTGGAGGTTTTTTTTTTTTTTTTTTTTTTTTTTTTTTTTTTTTTTTTTGCTATTCTGTCTATTCCTGTGCAGCTTGTCTTCAACTTTGCATGGTTATTCAGTTTGCTAATCCGCTAACTTGCCAGTTTCAGTTTCTTTGGTGCCAATACTGGATGTTACATACACTTCCAACTTCTGTATTTTTACTGATTAGCATATTATACAAACTATAAGTTCTTCTTCTTCTGTTATACTCAGAAACGTCACAGAGCTGCAGTTATGGACTTGGAGCTACATGAGGAAGTGAATGCAATAGTGGAGATAGTCAAAGAGAGTCATGTGGTGTGCAAATTACTCTTGTCATTGTAACAAGTTAACAAGTTTACAGCTGCACAAAAGATCTATTGCACCTTACTTTTTTGGTTGTCTTGATCAATGTAGGTTCTTTCCATCCCTGAGTATAATTATGCAATAGGTTTTGCACCACTGATGGATTACAACTCACAACTACTTCCTTGCTGCAACTATGAAAATGGACAGCGGTAATTTTTTGCGAATTAATTTTAGAATATCGCTTTGTTGTTTTAGTACTTGTTAAGTCTGTCAGGTTCGAGTCTTCCAGGGCTACTCATTCTTGCTTGTAGGGGTAAAAACTTTTATGATGGTCCTAGATAGCTGCTGATAGATTTTTATACCTTACTGAAGGTACTGTCTCTGTTCTCAAAAGGATGACGTCTTAGAATGCGTGAAGTCAAATCTCAAAAGTTTAAATGTTAATAAATGCAAAAAAAGAAAAGGATTTGAAATATAAAAATTATATTAGTAGAATTGTTACTAAAAACTCTTCTGTATGGTTACACTTTGAAATGGTAATGATAACACGTGCATTGGAATTTGCCGACTGTCCAAAACGTCATCCTTTTGAGAATAGTCATAACTCATAACCTGTCTAACGGCATCCCTCCATCTAGCTGTATAGCTAACCCAATCGTGAATGAGCTATGCTTGCTTCATGGTTGAAACTTCCACGGTTTAGCCTTGACATTGAGCTCAATTTTAGCTGGATATACAACAAAACATTATCTGTGCTTAACACATGCCTGAACCTGGTTTTTATCCCGATGAGATTGTGCACACTAAGTTACTGTCTAGGCTTGATACAAGTGCAATCATGGCACATTGTAGCACCCACACATTATTCATCAAAGATCAGAATATTAGTTTCTCTGGTCACTTGGTTTAATAACCATAGATAATTTGATGTGTCCGAGGAAAACAAATCTTAGAATTAGATGATGTTCCTTCTGAGGCAGTCAGGTTGCATGCATACAGTTCCCGCTATGAGTAATTTCTTCCACTAATTTTTCTTATTCGATTTTTTTTGGTTGAAGCATTACTGTTGTTGTTGGAAGTATGCCAAGTTCTGGTCCGACAGGAAGACTTCTCCTACTACCAAAAGCATCAGGCAAGAATTCTAGTGTTAGCAGTTCCAAAAGAGCAAAGAAGAAAAGTGACTTCAAAGTTGGATCACTTGTTGAAGCAGAGGTTCAACTCTTTTTGTACAACTCATAACTCTTTGCTGCATGTTGTTCGACCTTTTTACTTACATATTGTTTTTGGCCATAGATTATTGATATCAAGCCACTTGAACTTCTTCTAAAATTTGGTTCCAATCTTCATGGGAGAATTCATATTACCGAGGTAAATGTTGGACTTTATTTGATATACTTTCCTTAACATTGCTAAGTCGCTGATTAGTGATACATTTTTTCAGGTATTTGATGATGATTCCAATGATTGCCCTTTTAGTGAACTCCAAATTGGGCGAAGTGTCCAAGCGAGAATCGTTGCTGAGGCTGAACATTCAGGAAAAGGTGGCAAAAATTCCAAATGGGAACTATCAATTAGACCATCTTTGCTTCAAGGTAATCTGGAGTCTTTTTTTTGCCATAATACAAACGTACAAAAAACATACTGTATAGTTGTTACAACTTCCTTTTTAATTATTCAATAGGATTTTTTTTTTGTCAACGTATTTCTATTACCTGCTGTATAACTTGCACATCCTTTTTGCTCTCTTATGATTTGTTATAACTTAAGTTTTACTGGAACCATGTAACAACAGGAGGGTTAGAAGACTTTACTCCTCCTAAAGCAGAATTAAGGCATTCAATTGGTGGCATTGTGCATGCTTATGTTGTCAAGGTGGATAGAGAATGGATCTGGTTAACTGTATCAAGAGATGTTATGGCCCATTTATTTATTCTTGATAGTTCAGCTGAGCCTGGTGAACTAGAAAAGTTCCAACAGCGCTATAGTGTTGGCCAGGCAGTGAAAGGACGCATTATTGGTGTGAACAGGGAGAAACGGTTGTTGAGACTGAAAGCACTTGACAGTCAGAGTTTGCCAGAGAATATAGGCGAAACACAAAAACCACTCTCTGCTACTGTTGAACATACAAAACAAGGAGATATCATTGGTGGACGTATTCAAAAGATTCTACCTGGTGTTGGTGGGCTTGTCATCCAGATTGGACCTCATCTTCATGGAAGGGTTCATTATACTGAAATTGTTGATTCATGGGTGCAAGAACCCATATCTGGATTTCATGAAGGTCAGTTTGTGAAGTGTAAGGTCCTGGATGTAAGCCGTTCATCAGAAGGGTCTGTCAGAGTTGATCTATCACTTCGCTCATCAATGTGCGCAAATTCTAACCAGTCAAGAAGATTGTTTGATGATTCGTAAGTGCTAGATTGTGAATGTATTTGTTTATTTATAAGAAATTGACAAGCAGACTTTTCATTTATGCTTAATATCTCTCTTTTGCTGAAATTCACATGTCTTAATATCAAGGGTTTCCAAACATACCTTAATATCAAGGGTTAATTGGATCCATGGCATTACACGCAGTCACGCACTATTGCTGCCTGGTGACAACTATCATTTTGGATGGGGGGAGTTGTGTATCTTATGGAAACAAAATCCCAACCCACTCTTGCATATTTTAAGCAGGCCTGATCATTGGACAGTTTAGGTTTTTTAGAATGTATCATACCTACTAATGTATGTTTAACATATCTGTTTTGCAGGAGAATTCGTACCTCCCGATTTGAGAAGATCAATGACCTGTGCCCGGGAACAGAGGTTAAGGTATTTTCTTACCTTATTTTGAATAACTAGATTTTGTTCGAAAAATTTGTATGATGAGCTCAAAGTAGTGTGCAAAGGCACATGGTTGATCATCCTGTTGCTCTAAAAATATAAGTCTGTATTTTGCCTTTATTCATTGAAAAGCTGTAAACAGTTTTTGAACTTTATGTAAGATGTATTTTCCAACTTACTTGGCATGTATTCAGTAATAATCCACAAATAATTACTGGATATTAACTACATTTTTTTTAGACTTAAAAACTTCAGTGTGGAAACAGTTTCCAGTGTTGTATGCTGAAAGAATGTAGTGATTGTTATTTTCTTTTACATTTTAGCATAGATGTATCTTCTATATGGAGTAATGTGCTGCGTGGTAATATTCATAGGGCTATGTGAAGAGCGTGAATTCGAAAGGATGTTTCATTATGGTTTCTCGGACTATTGAGGCTAGGATTATTCTGTCAAATTTATCTGATGAATATGTGGAAAATCCTCAAAACGATTTCCCAGTTGGACTGCTTGTACATGGAAGGTGAGATCTGGTCATTTACAAATTTTATATAGAACTTAATAGTGTTGTCTTGAATCTTTTTTTTTTTTTAAAAAAAAAATGCAGGGTCTTGTCCTCAGAACCACAATCAGGGAAAGTTGAGGTATCACTTAGGAAGAATACTGGTAGCAAATCTCAAAAATCAGATGATATTAGTTACAGCGATCTGCATGTTGGGGACATAATTGCTGGTCAAGTTAAGAGGGTAGAATCCTTTGGACTATTTGTGACAATTCAGGGCAGTGAATTGGTATGTGCTGTCTTTTTTGAGACCACACACAAATGTTGTTTGAAATCAGTACCTTATATGGATCTTTGCTTGTAGGTGGCATTGTGCCATGTATCAGAACTTTCTGATGAACCAGTCCTTGATATTCATTCTTGCCACAAAGCTGGTGATAAGGTTAAAGCCAAAATTTTGAAGGCAAGTTTTGTCCTTTGTTTTGGACAACGGGCTAGTTACCTGCTGCATTTGATGGCTTTGCAAAATTTACCTCTTATCATAATAGTATTCTGCCTTCTGTATTGCCATTTTAAAATTCGTTCTGCTCTTTTTTGCATGTAGATTGATGAGGAACGGCATCGAGTATCCATTGGAATGAAGAAATCTTACATCGGACCTGATTCTACGGGTGATACAAGTGATGATGAGGATGACGAAATAGTTCCTGAGGAAATCAGTCGTAATCCTGTGATGGGTAGAGATCGGAACCATGCGTTAGTTCTTCCGAAACCAGAATCCAGGGCTTCAGTGCTGCCACTCCAGGTCTCCTTGGATGAATCTGAAGGTTCAGACCAAGAGAATGATAATAAAGGTCAAGAAATTGCTAATGGAACTGAAGTAGATGATAAAAAGAGCAACAAAAGGTTGAAGGAGAAGGCGAGAAAACAAAGGTTGTCATATGTTTATCTATATCTTTTAATTTCCACAAACCTTCGGACTTAAAGACTCCAGACTTTTACATCCTTGTATTTGTTATTTCAGAGAATTAGAAATCAGTGCCTTGGAGGAAAGGGCTTTACAAAGAGATATACCCCAGACTCCAGATGAATTCGAGAAGTTGGTTAGGAGCTCTCCAAACAGTAGCTTCGTCTGGATAAACTACATGGCATTTTTGTTAGACCTAGCAGATGTTGATAAGGCCCGTGCAGTGGCGGAAAGGTTCGTTCGCAATCTGGGAACTACTGTTGTCAATATTGTTTTGAATAATGTGATTGGATATACAAAATTTGGCTAAATGTTTTGGACTTCTAAATTATTTTGTGTAGAAAATTTTTTTCTCAAATGAATTATTTCCGAAGTTTCTGTTAACACTGCTAAGTGGAACTTCAATGTTTTCTGAGATATATTTCTATCCAAATTTTATTTCCTGATGAAGCTTCAATTATTTTTCCCTGAAAAAAATTCCACTTGCCACCATTTCTCCTGAGAAGAGGTGCAACATTTTTTTCCCTTCCTGAAACTTTTATTTGAACCTTTTATGCTGTTTTGTATGAATGTTTTCATCTTATGGTATTGTTGAATTTCATTAGGGCTTTGAGAACAATAAACATCAGAGAAGAGGAGGAGAAACTTAATGTTTGGGTAGCATATTTTAATCTGGAAAATGAATATGGCAGTCCAAGGGAGGTAATGCTCAAAATGATACTATTTATTCTCTTGTGCCATTTTGACTATACTGATTTATTGTTGATATATGTCAGGATGCTGTCAAGAAGATATTCCAAAGAGCCTTGCAGTATTGTGATCCCAAAAAGGTGCACTTGGCTCTTCTTGCAATGTATGAGAGGACAGAACAATACACACTAGCAGATGAACTTCTTGATAGAATGACGAAGAGATTCAAAACTTCCTGCAAGGTTAGTGTGCTGCTTTCCTAAATTCTTGTCTGGAGCAAATTTTTGACTTGTGGTATAACTGTAGATTTGGTTGCGCTGTATTCAATTGTCCCTCAAGCAAAGCAAGGATGTTGAGTGCATCAAATTGATAGTGAAGCGTGCACTTCTAAGTCTACCTCAGAGCAAGCGTAGAAAGTTCCTATCGCAGACTGCTATCCTGGAGTTCAAGTGTGGAGTGCCTGAGGAAGGGAGATCCAGATTTGAACTGATCTTAAGAGAGTACCCTAAAAGAACAGATCTTTGGAGTGTTTACCTAGACCAAGTAATCAAACATTTGTAAACTGTTATCTTGAAGAATTATACAATTTGATTGACAAGCTTTGATCTCTTGTAGGAAATTCGCCTTGGTGATACGGAAATTATACGGGCATTATTTGAGAGAGTAACATGCCTTAGTCTTCCTCCAAAAAAGATGAAGGTTTGGCTTAATCTCAATGGTTTTTTTTTATGTTCGGATATACCTAATCTCAATGGTTTTTTTATGTTCAGATATATTTGATTCCTAGAAAAATACAGTTTGTTTCTGAGAAATGTAATCCAGAGCTGAGTGGTACAGGCTTGGTTTAATTAATCGGGTGGAGCAGTTAACTGTAGCACATCGGTTACTGATTTGTTTCTTTTTCCTTGTTTCTTTTTCCCTCATAAGAAGGTTTTCCTGAATTACTTGTTTATTGGCTAACCAACCTTATATTTATACATCAAGAATTTTCGTGGTCATGCTTGGCATTTATATAGGTTATTTCCTTGTCAGATTCCCAAACATGTCTCTTTACTAGCATTCTTTTTATAATCTAATATAATTTTTATAATCTAATATAATGTTAGATTCCTCATACTATGCTCAACTTCCGCAGTTTTTATTCAAGAAGTACCTGGAATATGAGAAGTCGCAAGGTGATGAGGAAAGAATCGAGCATGTAAAGCAGAAGGCACTGGAGTACGTTCAGAGTTCACTGGCCTGATATTCGCAAGACCAATAATCCCTCTGAACCTAAGCTGTTGCTGCTGCTATCCGCTATTCGGAGTCGTGGCTGCAGAAATTGCGATCAGCAACCTGATGCGACGACTCCTGATAGGTTTCTGCGAGGATCGGCGGTGTAACTGTCTGAATAGCTGAAGGTCAAGTCCTTGGTCGATGCAGAAACTGAAGAGTGCTAATCATAGAAACGGTGATAGGTCTGATGTATTTTGTGCGTTAGTGCTATGGTTGCATATTTTTGATTAGTGATGCGAACACGAACGTTGTTAAGAGGGAAATGCAGCCCATTCAGTTTTGTAGGAATAAGTGTTCTACGCTTGGAATTGTCAAAAGTTTTTACCAAAATATGATGTATACAAACCTTTTCTTATCATGGAATGTTGCAATTACCTCCTGGTTCTCATGAGCTGCCTATATCTCATTTCCACAAAACAGCAATATATTTGGATAGTTCTAATGATGTTCATCGGTTGGATTTGTCTTCCTTTTTCTTGTTCCCTTCTAGCTCTTTTATGGATTAGTTCAAGTTCAGTTGAGATTTGAATTTTATGGAATGGTAAATGTTGTCAAATGTATTAAGATTGCTTTCATAACTGTTTGTATAATATTTAGGAAAATGAGTATATATACGTCGATTACCAAATATAGTTTCCATACGAAAGAAACGCTGTTCGATGCACGCGCCACTCCAATCCTCGAATTGCCGTCGGATTCGGAAGCCTTTTTCAGAAAATCAGCACTCCAATCCTCGAATTGCCGTCGGATTCAGAAGCCTTCTTCAGACGTGGCTCAAGTGTACCCGTCTGGAATTTTGATGGGATTCATCCAAATCCAAATTTGAATTGATAAAAAAGAAAAAAAGATAAATAAAATCTTATAAATAGTATGATATTTATAGAGTCTATTGGGATATAAATTCTTCAAAAGATTGGTGTATTCCATACATTTCTTGAACTGTACAGTAGAAAAGAAAAGAAAAATTATTTAGAAAAAAAGGAAACCCTTTCATATGCCAAATTCCATGCAGCGATGAAATGGACTTTAATATTGGACTCTAAACTAGGTACTCTCTCTGTTTTTTAATAGATGACGCCGTTAACTTTTTCTCACATGTTCGATCATTCGTCTTATTCAAAAAATTTACGTAATTATAATTTATTTTGTTATGAGTTGTTTTATCACTCATAGTATTTTAAGTGTGATTTATATCTTATACATTTGTATAAGATTTTTGAATAAGACGAATGGTTAAATATGTGAGAAAAAGTCAACGGCGTAATCTATTTAAAAAACGGAGGTAGTATGTAATAGACTTTAACATTTATGTGATGGGTATTTTATTTGGCTAATGGTTGGTGAGTGATGTATTTTTTTTATGAATACATATTACATATTGTGTGTATGTCAATGGGAGGTTATCAAATTTATAAGAAATGTCATTTTCATGATTATTTTTTTCCTAATAATCTATGACATTTTTACTATATTTAGGGTGTGTTTAGTTGGGGAAAAGGAAATTTTTGGGTGTCACATCGGACGTTTGACCGGATGTCGGAAGGGGTTTTCGGACACGAATGAAAAAACTAATTTCAGAACTCGCCTGGAAACCGCGAGACGAATCTTTTGAGACTAATTAAGCCGTCATTAGCACATGTGGGTTACTGTAGCACTTATGGCTAATCACAGACTAATTAGGCTTAAAAGATTCGTCTCGTGATTTTTCCCATAACTGTGCAATTAGTTTTTCTTTTTATCTATATTTAATGTTTCATGCATATGTCCAAAGATTCGATGCGTTGTTTTTGGGAAAAAATTTTGGAGAACTAAACGGTCCCTTAGGTGAATCGGACTCCGAGTCCAGCTCCTGCCTGCCTAGGCCTATATATTCAACCTGCCGCTGCGCTTAGTTATCTCGCATTCGCAGCGCGATTCGATTCGATTCGACTCGATTCCTTCAGTTCTAAACACAAGGCAACCAGGCGGCGGCGGCGGCGGCCATAAATCGGAGCGCGGCCAATGGAGTCGCCGGCGTCGGCATCACCGTCTCTCCCGGAGGGCGAGGTGCTCGCCGATTTCTTGGTGTTTCTTGATGACGCCGCCGCGGCGGCGGCGGCGGCGGAGCCGTACGAGGTAGAGATGGAGGAGGAGGAGGAGGAGGAGCCGCAGGAGGTGGAGTTCGCCGCCGATGACGGCAGCGACGACGACGTCGGCGGCGATCTCGTGGGCAATGGCGGCCTCATGGAAGATGAGGTGGACTACGCCGTCGACGAGCTTGTGGACGCCGACTCCGAGGACGGCAGCTTGGACATAATGGCCGACGACGGCGACGACGAGGCGGCGACGGAGGAGGAGCACGCCACACGAGCCGCAGAGCCACCGGCGGCGACGGCGCGCAACGCAAGGATGAGCGTGAAGCCCGTGAAGCAGTTCGGCGGGGACTACGAAGCCATCAACGAGATGATCCGCGAGTACCTGCAGGCGGACAAGAAGCGGCGGCGCGCTCGCAGGGTCGCCGCGGCGATGCTGCGCCTCCGTCGCCAGCGGCGGCGGCCGGCGGAGGACGGCGGTGCACCGACGTGGCCGTAGCTAGGCACGCGCGGATCGGAGATATATATGCATGCATGTAACTTGTGTACGTATGTCAGTATGCATTTGCCGGTGTATCATCGTATTATTTGTCCTCGCATGATGTAATTAATTTCTTCTTCTTTTTCTGCGAGATGCATGTAAATTTTTTTGATGTAAACTTCTCATATAGGCGAGTATGTTTTCTTATCAATCGAATGGATAATAATTGAAGTGCTAGGAGAAGTTGAGGAATAGTTTCGTTGGTTTGATCATTTAGGGCCCTAGAAGGCCAGGAGCGCGGCCGACGTCCCCGGCGTTGAGCGGGCGTTCTCGAGTCTCAACTTCTCAATTGTCATCTATAAAAAGTTGGAATCGGTAATTACATTGGATTGATTCAGTATTTTGAATCATCCATCTTCCATTGGACTGGCTGTTATTTACTGAATCAAAAGTTATGTGAATGTCTTCTTTTGTTTTTTGTTTATAAAACATACAGATGTTTATTCTCTCAAATTCTCGGCGTGTTATTTACATATAGGAAGTATGATTCAGGTGCTGAAAAACGTAAGAATTAACAAAAACGAAGAAAAAAAACAGCAACTCAGTTTCAAAAGGGCGCTCTAAATTTGTCGCGAGAGAAGCTCCGCTCTGGATTCAACTATCGATGGCGGTCATGATAATTATGAAGATATAATTGAAAAGAAACACTGGACGAATGATACTTTTCAATAGAATATTAGGTGAGAACTTTTAGCATATACTCCCTCCATTCCACATTAGAAAAAATGTCAAAACGACTTATAATGTGGAACGGAGAGTATTAATGTATTTCTAAATAATCAACGTAACAAATACTCCCTCTGTTCTAAAATATAACAACTTTTAGCACTTAGGATTTGTCCTAAAATATAACAACCTCTCCACCAATATTTCCTTAGTAACCATCACAACCCTTCACCATTCACTTTTCCAACCTACCTCCACTACTCAACCAATCACAACCCCTTCCTATTTAATTCTACCAACTTTCTTAATTATCGTGTCCAACTCTAAAACTCTATGTATTCTGGGATAGAGGGGGTATTAAATTACATATCAAAGTTATATAGTTGACTGTAAGAGACATGTTAGTTTTTTGAAATTTAGGGCCGCAATTCTCATTTTGTTTCGGGGGCCCAAATCCTAGAGAAGGCCAGCTGAAACAACCGTTCAGGTGTTACGTACTGTCATTCAATATGATAGCTTGGGGTTGGGAACGTTAACAGTAACATTATTAGTTCGTTGGGAGCGTTAACAAGTCATACCTAAATCATCATTTATATAACCGTCAAAACTCGATCAAAATCCATTTGACTCAGCACAGTCCAAATTGATCACAAACAACAAAAATATTTGAAAAAAAAAGGGAAGCTGTACCAAAATATAAGGTTAATTCCCTAAAAAAGGTTAATTATGATCAATATTTTACTTATTTTATCCATATTTCTATTTCCACAGATCTTCTGACTTAAGAAATCTAGACTTTTAATTACATCATTATATTTATTATTTTAGAGAATTAAAAATCGGTGCCTTGGAGGAGAGGGTTTTCACTACTTAAAAAAATGATTTTCATGGACACCCCCTATTTAATCGAAAGTGGGTTAAACAATGCCATTTACAAAAAGATTCAAATGGCATTTAGTAATAACCCATATGTGAAAATCCATTTTCACCGGCGGACCTCTTAATAGGTCTATTTGTGAAAATGGGTCCGTTTTCATAGACATGCCTATTAAGAGGCCCGTATAAAAAAAATCGTTTCACGACACAGTTCTCTACATCTTTTTTTTCCTTTTAAGTCCTTCTCCCGCTCCCTCGGCTTCTCGTCCCACTCCCTCCTCCCTCATCCCTTCTCTCCTCCTTCTCTCCCTCGGCTTCTCCTATCCTAATGCCCGGCGCGAGGTGAGGAGATGGTGGGCGTGGGATCCATTACCACTGGTGGGTGAAGGAGTATGGAATGGTGGGGTAGAGGGCAACCACGATGACGGAGGAGGCTTAGGGGCACCGCGGAGTTGTCGATGGCAGATCCATCGGCCACGGGCCCAGCAGGGGCAGATACAACAGCAGAGCGAGGCGACGGATCCGGGTGGGGTGGATCCAACGACGATGGCAACGGGAGGTGGAGGGTGACCACGACAAACGGCACTTACATTCGATAACTTTCTAAATAAAAATATTGTCAAATGTATTAATGGTCCTAATGGTAAAACATCACCCCGGTTTTGACCTGCTACACCATGAAGGAAAGGAATCAAATGTTCGATGTTGCACTTTCTTAATAGTATGAATTGCATCCTGGGTCATCTAAGTTTCACTTTGGACAAAACTCTATTCAATATTTTCCCTTTAAACTAGTTATTTAACCCTTCTGTCTTTGTTGCACTTTAGATCACCCTAGCACTTTTGTCTAGTTACATCTAGCTAGGGTTTGCACTTTCAATTTCGGCACAAATTTCGGTCATTTCGGTAGGACCAAATTTATGAAATTTCGTGATTTTCAGCACTTTACGGACCGAGTTTTTCTTTTTGAAATTTTTAACATACTTTGACTGAATTTGAATAAACTTCGACGAACTTCAACAAATTTTTGAGAAAATCCAAAAAGTTCAATCGATATATTGATTTGCCGGTTGGGTCCTAAATTGCAATCACTCCATCCAACCTCTCTTTCGACAAAAATATTACATGTATGTAAACATGGGAGATCATCGGCATGAGTGTACCGATATGTTTAGGGGTGTATTCTCAAAGAGAGTTTGGGTGGTCCAAAGAGCAAAAATGGTAAAAATACCTACTCCAATATCCAAAATGAAAATACTAGACAATATGGTTCAAAGTGAAACTTAGGTAATGTAGTACTACATCCGTCCTAAAATATAAGTATTTTAAAATAGTGCCAAGTCAAATATTTCTAATGACTATTAATAGGAAAAAAATAAAAAAGATCAATCATATAAAATTGGTGTTTACTAGATTTATCGTTAAATAAACTATCATAATATCGTTAAATAAACTATCATAATATGCAATTGTTTTTATTTAAAACATCTTACTTTTATAGATATTATTGATTAAAACAGTATGTCAAAGACTGTGTCGAAGTAAAAAAAAATGTGCTTATACTTTGCCAAGGGACACAACTATACCGAGAGTGCTAGCTAGATATTGCTAAAGAGAGACACCCTTCTTTCAAAAAAAAAAGCTTCTAGTATACTCAATATCTATGTATTTTTTTTCTTAGATAAGTTTATCTTAAATTGCTTATCTGATTTATAATCCGATTATACCGTTGTGTTCGTTGCAATTAAATCTTTACAACAAGATCTTGCATAATTATATTCTAATATATATATATATATGTATGTATGTATATATATATATGTATGTATGTATATATATATATATATGTATGTATGTATGTATGTATATATATATGTATGTATGTATGTATATATATATATATATATATATATATATATATATATATATATATATATATATATATATATATATATGTATGTATGTATATATATATATATATGTATGTATATATATATGTATGTATGTATGTATGTATGTATGTATGTATGTATGTATGTATGTATGTATGTATGTATGTATGTATGTATGTATGTATGTATGTATGTTGTAAATTACTTTTTATTATATATGTAAGTTACTTTTATTATATATATAAGTTACTTTTATCATATACATAAATTACTTTTAGATTTAAGCTCTTCAATAACTTATATATTTTAAATCACGTATTATTTCAAGATCTATTTGCATCATTATACTCTACATAAAATATGTGACAATGCAAGATCCATATTGGATATATTCAAATATTTTATTAATTTAAAAGTAATGTATTTAAATTACAGAAGTAACTTAGCTATACAATAGAAGTAACTTAGCTATGCAATAGAAGTAACTTTCTGTAGTAGAAGTAATTATATGCAACAGATGTAACTTAGTTATGCAATAAAAGTACTTCCTCCGTTTCATAATATAAGTCATTCTAGTATTGCCCATATTCATATAGATGTTGATGAATCTAGACATAGTTCGATTGTGGGCAATGCTAGAATGACTTACACTATGAAACGGAGGGAGTAACTCTCTGTAGTAGAAATAATTATATTGTGAGTGAGCTGAAATAAGAAACTATGTAGAGTAAATTCGCAAGTAAAGTATAGAGAAGATTTATAAAGTCCACAAAATATAGAATTAACTAAAAACAATAATAAAAATAATCAACTTAGAGCATTATGAATGTATAGAAGTAATTTAGTCAAATTTAAGGGGCTGTTCACTTTGGTGCCATTTTCAACCTTACCAAATTTTGGTAAAGTTGACAAAAAAGTGGCTACATTTAGTTTGCTGCCAAATTTTGGTAACTATATAAGAAATCCTGCCAAAATTTTGGCATAATTGCCAAAATTTTGGCAATGCCAAAATTTGGTAAGGTTTTTTTTGGCAGGAAAGTGAACAGGCCCTAAAAGTAACTTACGTATATAATAAAAGTAATTTATAAATATAAATATTTTTTTATCATAATATAATCATGTAAGATCTTCTTGTAAAGAATTAATTGCAACGAACATAATGGTGTAATCAGATTGTAGATTGGATAACTAGTTTAAGAGAAAATTTTATAAGAAGAAAACAACATATGCACTATTCGATATACTAATAGCAAACAAAACTTCTAAAGTACTAGCACGTGGGTGTCTCTGGTTAAGACTAATTGGAGAGGCCTCTCCAATTAGATTTACCGCTTAATTAACTTTTGAGTAAATTTCATAAAACCACATGTAATTCAATCAAACTAACAAAATTACAGATTTAGCACGGAAGTTCTCACGTAATTACAGATTTAACATAAATTATCCAAGCATAAAGACTAAGTAGCAAATTTATCACAAAAACTACAGGTTATGATAATCCAAACACGGAACTACAACGTTTATAGCTCTAACATAATGGTTGTGCTAGAAATTTAAATTCTAGAATCTATAGTTTTATGATTACTTCAATAATGAATATGTACTTTTGTGATAATAATCTTAACTTTATAGTTTTGTGATAAATTTTTCATTAACTCCGTAGTTTTGTAATATATGCCTTAAATTTGTATCTTTTTGTGATAGTTTGATCAAAATACATGTACTTTTACAAAATTTATTTTTCTTTTTGCTACTGCTTCCAATTTTTTTTGTCAAATACTTTCTCCGGGTTGACAATACTTATCGTTTTGAATAAGAACACGGCCTCCAGAAAATAACTTTAACCACTGTTTTTTATTATAATATATATAGAAATAGTAATGAATATATATTTTTATTGAAGTTCTATACATATGGTCTCCGTATTTCTAAGATGAATATTTTAGAAATTATTCATAGTGAAAGATTTTAAAGTTTGATATCACTCTTATTTAAAACGATAAGGATTATCAGTCCGGAGGGAGTACTGTTGCTGTCTGAGATCAATTTGGCCTGTCCTGAGTTAAATCGATTTTGACTATTAAATAGATGTTGATTTAGCGCTAACTTGTTAACACAACCAACGAATGTCAGTGTTAGTGTTACCATTCCCAACCCGAAGGTTATCATATTGATTGAATGATTGACACACAGTACGTATCACCAGCTGGAAGCTTTCGTTCTATTCGGCTGTTTCAACTTTCAACTAAACTTTTCCTCACGTCTCAGTTATTATCCATTCGATCGATACAAATACATACTCCCTCTTTTCCTAAAAGAAATTTAAACTTAATCTTGAAGAGGACTCTGAACATAGTGTTTGTACATATCCATCATCAGAATTGAACCTTTTTTAGGTATATGCGAAGTTTTCATAAAAAAAAAAGTTTACATGTGTCTCCCAAAAATAAAAAATACGTGCAAACTTCAGTGAACTAGGTTTTTTTTTGGCAGCATTAAACTTCATCGAAGAATATAATTACATGCGAGCACAAAGAATACAATATGATTCAACGACACAGACACAAGTTATATATATACACGCATGGTACTCCTTGCGTGCCCTAGCTACGGCCATGTCGGTGCACCGCCGTCTCGTCGTCGGCGCGCGGCTACGACATGTCTACATCCCGGTCGGCTGACCCCGCTGGCGACGGAGGCGCGACATCGCCGCGGCGACCCTGCGAGCGCGCCGCCGCTTCTTGTCCGCCTGCAGGTACTCGCGGATCATCTCGTTGATGGCTTCGTACTCCCCGCCGAACTGCTTCACGGGCTTCACGCTCATCCTGGCGTTGCCCGCCGGTGGCTCTGCAGCTCGTGCGGCGTGCTCCTCCGCCGCCGCAGTGGCGGCGCCTCCGTCGTTGTCGTCCGCCAAGTCGGCGTCGGACACAAGGCCGTCCTCGAAGTCGGCGTCCACAAGCTCGACGTCGTCGTACACGTAGTCCACCCCATCCTCCATGACGCCGCCATCATCAACGATGCCGTCATCGGCGGCGAACTCGACCTCGTACGGCTCCGCCTCATCCTCCGCCGCCGCCGCGGCGTCATCAAGAAACGCCAAGAATTCGGCGCGCACCTCGCCCTCCAGCCATGCCACGGGGAGAAGATGGCCGTCGAACTGCACGTACTCAGGGAGGGACGACGACTCCATTGGCCGCGCTCCGATCGATCGCCGCCGCCTCGCTGCCCTTCTTGTTTACAGCTCAGGGATGAATCGAATCGAACTACCGGATCGCGGGAGGTAGCTGAGAGAGACTGAGATGAATGCGAGAAATGAATGCAGCAACAACAGCGGCAGCTTTGAATTTATAGGCAGGCGGGCGCACGCGGACTCCGAGTCCGATTCCAACTCCTATGAAACCGCGAAAATATATTTGCGACATTTATTTTGAAAAAGGACTCCGAATCTGGCTACACTTCGAGGACTGGACTCTAGTCTGGAGTCTGGAGTAGGTATCCGATATTATTTTTTTTTCGAGAATTGCATTTTGGTCTATCTTCTACTCCCTCCTTAATTAAGAGTAGCCAGTTCTGGTTTCCCCTGAAATCCTGGAGGTACGGTTTAGATTAGGAGTCCGTTTCAAAAGCGGCAAGCAAAAGCATTTATGCGGTTTCGTGAGATCGGAAGCCGAGTCGGACTCGGAGTCCGCACGCGCGCCTTTCCTGCCTATATTTTCAAATTAAAGCTGCCGCTGATGCTGTTGCTGCGTTCCATTCCATTCTCGAGCTCAGCAGCTACCTCCCGCGATTCGATCCATCCTAGCTAACAAACGAGGCGCGACAGCGATCGATCGGAGGAGGAGCACGGCCAATGGAGTCGTCGTCGGCGGCGGCGGCGTCTCTCCCGGAGTACGTGCAGTTCGACGGCCATCTTCTCCCCGTGGCGTGGCTGGAGGGCGAGGTGCTCGCCGAGTTCTTGGCGTTTCTTGATGCCGCCGCCGCGGCGGCGGAGGATGCGGCGGAGCCGTACGAGGTGGAGTTCGAGGAGGAGGAACCGTACGAGGTCGAGTTCGAGGAGGAGCCGGAGGAGGTGGAGTTCGCCGCCGATGACGACGACGACGGCGGCCTCATGGAGGATGGAGGACGCGGCAGCGAAGTAGACGACGACGACAGCGACTTGTTCAAGGCGTACGAGGAGGAGGCGGAGCAGGAGATGGCGCTGCTGCTGCCGCACATCATGGCCATCCCGGCGGTCATGGCGCGCGCGGCGGCGCCGGCGACGGAGCAAGAAACCAAGCGCCACCAGTTTGTTTCTGACCAGCGCGGATGGATGTAAAATCTTTTGGAATCAGAGACTGATTTGATTCATCTGATTCATCTGTCATTAGCTTTTTCCGTAGGTTAAGTTCATTCATTGTGTAGTTTGATCATCCGATTGAGTTGGATGAGCCCTAATGTAACTTTATGGATGCAAATATATATAATCTCTTTTTTTCCTTGTCCATCTCGATCTAATCGTTTTTTCTTACAAAAGCACAAAGACCAGAGTAATGCACGAGTGATGTGAGTGCATTCACGAGTGTAAGTCTGATGTGTCTTTAAATATAACAAAAAAAAATAGTAATGTTTATCTTGGCATCCCAAATAGTAATTCTGTTAACACTGGCAACGCTTCGTTATGAAAACTATGTGCGCAAATCTCCCCTAACAAGCAAATATACTTTCACGGTAATCTCACCTTTATCTCATGAATTCGAAACCGTAAAGAAGAAAATAAATCTATGGTTGGAGAGAGCAAATTTATTAAGGCACAAAGATCAAGCAAGCGTCAGATTTCAGGAAATGTTTCCAGATCCCTATTTCAACTGGCATAACCTGAAGCAAGTTGACATATACCACAATGGAGATTATGCGTTCACGAGGGTTGTTCCTTTCACTGGGCAAAAGGATTTGTATCCACATCCTTCTGCCAAAATATTATTCGTTATTTACAAAGATTGCACTAGAGCAATGACACACTATTGCGACATCAGATGGGCCTATCATCCCACAGCAAAACACAGCACCTCACTACAGCTGAGATTTGGTATGTTCTGGGTATGTGCTCCAGTAGCAGCTTCAGCTGCAACAACTCGGTGCTCGGCTCGGATCCAAATTCAGCGATGATGCCACCCAAATATCAGCAGGTTGGAGACAGCCATGTCGGTAAGAACAGTGACCGGGTTGAATGGATTGTTGAACGCCTCAGTTGAGTGCGTAATGCACCCTCTCTAATGCTCGCATGACCTGGAAAACCGAGATATCGTGTTGCCTCTTCTTTCCAGGAGAAACAATATTGAGAACATCGTGCTGTTGTTCGCTGGTGAGCTCCAGGAACTGCACAAGCATGTCGCCATCCAGAATGGGCGGTACTCCCGACTGTCATAGCAGTAGTGTATAAGGTTATTCAACACTTGCAAAAAAAACTAGCTTTCAGTATGGCAGTTTAATTATCTTACCGGGATACCACGGCGACGAAACTCTGCATGATCATTTCCTAAGAGTGGAGCAGTCAATGGGTGAACCGAAAGTCTTTCTTGGACATCTTGCAACATTTGATGCTCCTCACTGCATTACCAATTCATTAGCTTCAGAATCATAACACTAGTGTGCAGAGATAAAATAACTCTGGCCCCTTGTTACAAAAGGATATAGAATGGGAAAGGGCTTAGTTTACCAATTAGTTGTCGACACTAGTACGCAAACAAATTATCAGGTTAAACACAATCAATTTGGATTTAATTAGTAATGGTGCGAGCATTGACTACTTTGTTTACATTATCAATGTGTATGGCATCTAGTCCTCAGGAACAGCATAGCAACAAATAATTCTAAACGATAAAGTGTTCTATTTTATTATTTATGTGAATAACATTTCAAAAATCATGTACCAAATATAATTGTGAAGCTTAGCCAAAACTATCATAGTTCACAACCCTGATTAACTTAAAGCAAATTCAATCTCCCAAATTGGTTTAGATGTTACCGACAGGCTAGCAGTGGCCCTGACTGAGCTGTCACAGATAAATAGCTAATAGCATGAATTTAGATTCTAGAGTTGGAATCTTCAAAACTACACCTTGTGAGTGGAATCATAACAAAGATACTCCCCAGCAGAGTGCTTGCGACGACACAGTTGTATACCGACTCCAACACTGGTTCTGTCAAATCATCAATTGGAAGCCAATGCTTAAATGCAACCTACAGCAAATTACAAGACCGAATTAACCATAGGAAAGCAAAGCAACAATATAAAACATGAAACTAGTTCGGTCACACTTCTCCATGGGGCTCATATAGAAAGAAAAGGGTCGGGTCATGATGAATGAAAACCAAATGTTCAGGGAAAATAACGGGATCATGAGAGATAACAAGGCAAATCTCCTAGATCAATTATGGGCTGTTTCATCTAAGTAATTGGATACTCAATGCACCAGCAGGTCCAACTTCCGAACCAAACAAGAGCAGAATGGACTACTAAATTTCTACCTCATTCCTCAAAGCGACATGCTTAGTTGGAAAAAAAAAGATGAATGGGATCATTGGATCATCCCATCAAAATCATGGGATGACCTCAAGATTAGGGGTGAAAACGGTACGGAAACTTTCCGGATTCCGGGCCTGTTTTCGGAAATGGAATCAGCTGGTCAGAATTTTTTCAGAATTTCTCAGAAACGGAATCGAAAACGGAAATATTTTCTCGGAAACGAAATCGAATATGATAATAGCAGTTTCCGTCGGAACTCGGAATCGGTCGGAAAAATTCCAAAAAATTTGCCGGAATTTCTGAAGTTAAAAAGGCCCATAGAATCAATAGTCTATAAGTCGTCCCCAAGTTCCCAGCCCAATCCAAATCGCAGCATCTACCCAAATAGCGGCTAACCCTAGAGAGGAGAGACACACTGATCGCTGCACGGGAGCACGGCATCGCGCGACCGCGAGCCGGCGGCGGAGCAGCGCATCCAGAATCCAGATCACGGCATCGTGCTCCCCAGCGCCCACCGCCCGCGCCACCGCTGGTCTGCCGTCCTCGGCTCCTCGTGACCTCGCCCCTGCCGTCCTCGCGACCGTGCCCACCCTTCCTCTCTCGCAGTCGCTCTTCGTTGTCCCATACCGCCGTCTCGTACCGCCACCATCTCGCGGCGCCGTCCCGCCGTTTCGCGCCGCCGTCTCGCCGTTTCGCCGCCGCCACCACCACTGACGACGCCGCCATAGCCACACCGACAAGTCTACGACACCTCAAGCCCCACTGGCGACTCTTCCTCACCGCCGACAACGCCTCGCCTCGCAGCAGCCAGCAGCCCAGTGGCAGCAGCCAGCAGGTGTTATTCCTCAACCTCCACCTCCGTCACTCCGTGTTAAGTGTTATTGTGTACTTGTGTTGAGACTTAACAATTAGACTTGATATAATTGTGTTTTATGACGAATTGTTGACTGTTGAGACTTGAGAATTAGACTTGACAAAAGTTTGAAGCTCAGTTTGAGGGGTTTTTGTATTCCGATAAATTTTCATTACCGTATCCGCACCGGTTCGTTTTCGCTCTGTTTTCAGTTTCGAAAATATTCGTTTTCGGGGTTTCCGATTCCAAAAAAAATATGAAAACGAAAACGATAAAGGTTGTTTCCGTCCGTTTCCGCACTGTTTCACCCCTACTCATGATGGGTCATGCTGGAAAAAACTCATCCTAGGATGATTTGATTCCTCAAACCAAACAGCCCATTAGTTCATCAAGTTACAAACACATGATTCATCCTTTAAATCCAAAGCAGCTACCCAATACCCATGTTCAAAACCCTCTCTTTGGTATGTTTTCGTTAATGGAATTCACACTGGTTAGCCCTAAGATGCCAACAGAAGCTTACCTTCTGGATGCTCATAGCTGTTTCACCCATGTAAAATGAACAATGCACCGCTAGGTTCTTCTCTGGACTTTCGGATACTGCAAGATATGTTAAAAAAAGTCAAAATAAATCTTGACGTAATGTAAAATTTAAATTAATTTAGGTAGATATTACAAAGTAATGCATATATGATGAGAAGTACACAAACGTAATGCAAAATTTTGAATTCTATTACGAAATTCATAAAGCTTCTAGGCACAATATTCAACTATGTGGCCTTACTACACTGGCAAATTTTATGCCAGCTATATTGTGATGTTTATACTGCATATTTAGTATGTCAATAAAGGAATTAGATTGAGAAACTAAACATGAAGGCTACAAAATTACAAAGTATGACCAAGATGCAGAAGAGTATAGAGGAGGCACTACCATTAAAAAGAATCCAGAGAAAAGAACAGGTACAAACTAAAAAGAAAGGGATAACATAGACATCTATACCAAGGCATACCTTCTAATCTTGGGCAAGACAGTACAGATAT